AGATGCCCAGGTTCAGAAGATCGCTGACAAGCGAAAGGCTTACAAGCAGCGTAATGCTGAATACTGGGGTTACAACGATTCATTCGTTTACTCATCCGGCAACAGCTGGTACGACAAATCGCAACCATCAGGTAGCCATCACAGATACGGAAGATTCTGGGAGTGGCCACAGCCTGAACGTCCCAGCGAGCCTGAAGGTCCTCCTCCACGAAGGAACCAGGAATCATCGTCCTCTTCACAACAAGATCTACCAAGATCAAGGTCCAGGCCTCAAAGAACCAATATTGTTGACAAGCTCAACATGTCTTTGGAAGAGCTGGATGGACTAGCAGAAGAACCGTCACCAACAAAAAGTGACATCGAAGAACACGAAAGAGAAACATCAAACTTGATGTCTGCTCAGAGAGATGAAGAGGAACAAGAGGACGAATCCTCCAGCCGGAGGAGAAGAAGGAAGGCATCGCGTCCACCGTCTGCTCCGAGCGGCAAGGCACTCAGAACAGCTGCTACAGCAGCGGGGTTGTCGGGCTGGTTCGGACACCGCAACCAAGGTGGAGCGAACGCAGAGGCTATCAAGACTGATGAAACTTCACTTCCAAACTCACTAACCAGTGAGCAGGACTTCTCCGTCTTCAGCATCGCGTGGAATGTGTTTCTGCTGCTAATGGGCTTACACTGGATGTGGAAGCAGATTACCAGGCATCCTATCAGATGTATGGAGCGCCAACAACCAAAATCAAAAGCAGCAGCGAACCAAAGAGTTCCATTCCTCGAACCCGAGGATGAACCGCAGACGCGTGAACCTTTAGGACCCAACAGGGTCAATTACGGAGAAACAACTGATCTGCGACCTATCTGGCATACTTCCCGAAGCGAAGTCTACCATCTCTCAGACAGCTGTTACCAGCTCAAGCAAGCAAGAGATGTTTGCAGGAAGGTGCTGTGAAAAAACTGCCTCCATGCAGTACAAGTTGCGGAGATTCGCAGGAACGATCCTTTTCAAAGAGGTGATACACGTCCACGTGGCACCGAAAGAGACATTGAGCGCTTCCAGACCTACGATAATGCAAGTACCACTCCTCATATGACGCAATTATTCAAAGATGCATTGCATGCACAAATGGCCGAAGAAGCCATGCAGATTACCTATACATCGATCCCCAAGGGATCCCCGGCAAAAGCCAAAGGTACATCTGCACTCTCAAGTGCCGGATCGTCATCAGCGCCCAAGGCAATGCCACCAGGGCCTAACAAGGCAAACATGTCACCTCCACCTAAGAGTCCTCCGCCAAAGGCGAAAGGAACAGTACCTTCAGATCCTCCAAGACCAAAAGGTCCTACCAGAAGAGGAGGTCAAAATCGGCGCATTCAACGAAAGGCAGCTAGAGAAGCCCACAACAGTGGACTCTGCACCTATGCAGACGCTGCACTTAACGAGGCCAATCAAGGCCAGGCAATTAACATTACGTGCAGAAACATGGCAGCAAGACACGTCAGCTCTATCGATGCAACGGTAGAAGCAGCCGGCCAGTTTACACAACGCGTGCTACAGCACGTAGAAACATATGATGAAGAGGAACCGTAGAGCACGGAGTTTCTACCAGTCGTGGAAGTCCTATTCAGGAACTTAAGCGGCGACGAAACAACTGTCATACATGACAATCAAACGGTAACTATGCCTCTCACGAAATACACAGACCTCCTCAGAATCGCACAATCATTGCGAAGCTCTATCCAGAGAGACAAGGAGGAAAGGAAGGAACATCTTGACACCATCCAAGATACTCTATCCAGAGTGGAAATCCTTCTAACAGCACTGAAGGAATCAAGGACAGTCTTTAACCAATTGGTCCATTCCTCACTAGAGATAGAGCGAAGAAATAACAATCTCAAAAATGTCCTCGAGACACTCTTTGACGACCAAAGCTATGAGGAAGACCAGTCAGAATCTGACAATGAAGAAGTCCTAACTCCTTCTGCAGCACAGTACTGGAATAGCCTTTATGCCCACGCCTTATCTCCTTCAGGAGATGAAAGTGAAAGATCATGGGCGTCCTCAGACGGACAGCTTGAAAGAAGAAGGGCTGAACGGGCAAAGGCTAAGCAGCCGCAACCGGCAAAAGCCAAGGCAACTCCAGTCAGCTCACAAGCTACTCCAAAGGCCGAGCCAAAGGCGACAACATCCAACCATGGATATGATACTGCAGATGCCGCCTTCACCAGGGCTGAGAACAGATTACTCGGAATCTTTTCAAGTTCCGAAGAAGATCACTCAGACCCGGATGAGCCACATCCGAACGTCTATGCTCGAGCCTATGATCCAACCCTGGATCCGAATCTGAGATAAGAAAAATTCTCAGAGTTTCACAACAGTGAATCACAAAGCTCTAACAAGAGCACAATGAAGGGCTGCATAATTCGGTAGAAGAACATTACCAGACCTGATCCTGTACAGATGATCTCTCTGACCAACATGCATGAGTGTGTGCAAAAGGAGTGACCTCAACAGTGTACTTCAGTGCTATACATAGCATAAACAATATGCTGTTTTTATCATGAGTCCAAACTCCGCAACTGTGACAGTGGGCATAATAGTATATGTGTGAATGTGCGGCCATGCTTCCGGTAAAAGAAAATTAGTGTCTGTTTGTTTGCGTAAACCTCTAAAGGGGTAGCTCTAACAGGTACCTACAGCAGTGGCTGCATGCTCATACATATACATTCCGCTGCCCATTGGCTCAAAGTGGTTTTACCATATTGAGACAAGACAAGCTCTCCTTGCGTAGCAAGACAAAACAACTACTGTCCGTGTGCAGGGCGCTGCCCTTTGATCCTTAGGGAATAACTGGTCATACACCTCCTCACAAGGAGTATTCCTTGGGGGTGTATCGGCACAGGGGGGGGGGGGGTCGAGAACGCGGAACGCGGACACATATAAACTCTTCACACAATCTAAACCCCCAAACCCTAAAGCGCGAGGAACCTGCACCCGTAGTTCGCCAACCTTTCAACAACCAGGCAGAGGTGAGGCGACTGCTTCGGCTCGCTAAGGTGGCGGCCGTTTCTCGCACTTGTCGCTCCTGCAGGCGGTTTAGGGTTTCGGGCGTTTAAGGTTCAGTGTCATTTAGGGTCTTAGGAGTAGGGTTTGGAGCAAGGGTTTGGAGCAAGGGTTTCGGGTTTCGGGTAACTTAGGTTGTTGTGGACCCGCATGATGCGTCTGAGCGTGCACTCAAATTGGTGCCCGAGCTAGTCCTACACTTCTACATCTGGACGTGCAGCTGCTCTAGATGAGTCGGTTTGGGAAGCTAGCGGTCCGAGCTGAATTTCAGACACCCTTTTGCAGCAAACCTTGCGGGCACCAGCATGCTGACGACACATCCAAACCGAAACGACTCCACTTCCCTCGTTAAGTCGTTCCTTCCTTTCTTCCTTCCTTTCTTCCTTCCTTCGCTCCTTACACCTGCCTCCTATACCGGTGTTGGAATGAGCAGGTGTAATACCCATGAGGATGCATGGCACAGTCATGACGGCCCGGGGCAGTTAAGAGAAGAGCAAAACGCTGAGCGTGAAGATGACCGTGACAACGAGGACGAATATGGGAGCTTCAGAATATTAGGGGGTACCTTATTTTGGGGTCCTTATAATAAGGATCCTACTATTTGTGGTACTATCTTTGGGTCCCCTATTTTCGGAAACTCCCATATGCCTATGTTCAATCACCATCGTGAGGACGATAGCGGTGATGACGATGGCGGTGATGACGGCGGTGCTGATGATGAGGATGACGGTGGCGGAGGTCATGATGAGGACGAACAAGAAGATGATGATGCTAGCCATCATTGTCCTCCGCATCATCACCATCTCCATCACCACCACCATCATCATCCGCATCATCATCCTCGTCATCTGTCGTCACCTTCGCCCGTGACTTCCCAGCTATGCAGTCGCCGGCATGACAGCAGTCGCTGCCGTTGGAAACAGAGGTCGGAAATGTAGAAATAACTTCTACTACCTCTACACTGTACCCCAACACCCAAATTCTAGTAGGCAAAGTAGAAAACGAGCAAACAGTAAAGGAAGAGGAGTCTCAGGGACAGCAGAAGCAGCCTGACCAAGCAAGTCCTTCAACCATAAAGTCCCGCAGCCACATGCCTCTATAAACCGGAAACCCAGAAGAAGCATGCATATGTACTTGGGTTTGTAAGGCTTAAGATGTAAGCTGGTAATATCCCTAAACCCTAAATCAGAAACTAAACTCTTTAGCCGCAACCATAAGCCCCAAACCCTAAATCCGGGACCCTTGAGCCCTGGAACCCGAAACCGTAAACCCCAAACTCTAAAACCCGACCCTAAGCCGTAAATCATGTGTGCAGAGGAAGCAAAAGAGTCCTGGATGGGCTCACAGGCATAAGGGATCTGAAAGTGCTCGCAGGTCGTGTCCTCAAAAGGTCACCAAATTGGTCAGGGTTTCAGGTTTGGGGTTTAGGGCTTGGGGCTTTTGGCTTCGGGTTTCGAGTTTGGGGTTTGAGGTCTTTGGGTTTAGTGTTTGGAGTTACAGGTTTCGGGTTTAGGGCTTGTGGGTTCGTCAACTCTTGATTCCGATCTGCTGTTCGATCTCGAAACTGGGGGGATTAGGCCTGAGACCCCCCAACACTAAAGCCAAAACCCTCTAGAAACCTTCGGGTCCCACAGCTGCCTATGCTGAAACCTCCACCATGAAACCTCCAAGCAGTCCTTTCACCCGAAATTGCTGGCTAAGCCTCTGCTGCACCTTTCGTCCCATCCTCATCGATGGTCTGAAAGTAGCCGATATAGCAACAGCCTGGTGCATTCTTGCTCGTGACAAGAATCTCTGTGCAATCAGCGCCAGAAACCATTCTCATCAACAACCTCATCGAGGGTAGCTAGCACCGCAGATCCTTTTACTACTGTTGATGATAAAAACCCTGCATTACCCATTATAGGGCATATACCATAATTCCCATAGTTTAGGGTCCTTAAGGTAATGCAGGAATCATATCATCAACCGTATTGCTTTTGCATGGCTAGCCGTAGTTGCCTGGAGCTCAGAACTCGGATGTGGAACCCTCGTAAAGGGTCAGAGAACTACCCGCATGGGTGGTTGTCCAAAGTATGGCCCCTTTTTGGGTACCGATTATAACACGGCACCCAAAAAGGGACCATAATTTTGACAACTTCCCACATACATCCGAAGCTTGCCTCAAGCTTCAGGAACTCAACATAACCCCCCCCCCCCCTCCCCCGCTTCCCGCTGTGAAGCCTGCCTTCTAGAAAGGGAACCCAATGCGGCTGCTTCTCCGGCACCTCACAGGAAGAGGACGGAGCATCAGGGTGCTGAACTGAACTCGGTCGGGCAGTACCGTTTCTCATGCTCCGTTAGATGCAGAAGCTACGAAGGTGACAGGGCTCCATAACAAGTGCTCTTTCACAGGAACTCAGAGGTTTAGGGTTTAGGGTTTAGGGTTTTAGGTTTAAGGTTGAGGGTTTAGGGTTTAAGATTGAGGGTTTAGTGGTTAGGAAGACTGGCAGAAGGCAACCCGCCAAGCCTCCAGGGAGTCAGCTGTAAAGCCATATCCGCCCCAGCCGGGCCAGTCAGCATCCTTAGGAGGATGATATGGCATTGCACAAAGCACATCAACTACAAGAGTCGGGTGTGATCGCGATGATGATGATGATGATGATGATGGTGATGATGATGATGATGGTAGTGCTGCTGATGATGATGACGGTGGTGGTGCTGGTGCTGGTGCTGATGCTGGTGCTGCTCTGATGATGATGACGATGATGATGATGACGATGCCTTCGATGGTGACGAAGATTTATGTTGCTATAGGCATTAGAGTCGGACATGATTTCTGCAACTGAAATCTTACGTCGACGACGACGACAGACGGGTTTCGTATTCAGTCCCATAGGCAGCCTGACATGGACATGAATCACTTGGGCTGTTGAGGGGGGCAACGTCTGGATTGCTACAGCGCCAGGCGTCGAGCTTTTCGCCGTCCACCCAGTAGAATGCTTTGGGATCCGTCCAGTAGCCCTGCACAGGGTCGAGTGTTGGGGATGCCTCCGAAGCATTCCGTTGCGACTGCACGAAAGAGCGCGAGAAACCCTACACCCCAAACTCAAAGCAATTCTAGACCCTAAGCCCAAACTCTAGAATTTCAACTGTAAGCTCCACACCCTACGGCCGAAACCCAGAAACCTCAAACCCCAACCCTTAATCAGTGACTGCTTTTTTGCAAAAAATCTGTTGCTTTCTTTTTTTGCAAAAAATCTTCAAGAAGAATCCTGCCTCCCCGTACTGAACGTCACGGCGGAGGCCGATCTGGACCTCACGGGTTTTAATCCTTCGAATAGGCTTCCTTTGAGGGTGATTTCGGGGGGGCTTATTTCATCAGAATAGAGGGCTCCTGGAAGGCATGAGAAGTTCTATGGTGGTTAAAAATGCTGTTACAAGGGGGCCTTAGTGTCATAGGGACCCTTAGGGGTGTAGGGGGAGGGGGGGTAGGGGGCCTTAATGCCCATAATAAGGACTAATAAGGCCTATTTAAGGAAATATAGTCCCCTACACCCCTCCCCCCTACACCCCTCGGGGTCCCTATGATAGTGTCTTAGTGAGACTAGCGTCCCCTTGTACTTCATGCTGTACTTGGAGGCCCAGGAAACTTAGTAAGCAGGTTATAAGTAGGGTTATGATTGGGGTAACTCCATTTAGGGTACCTATAACCCCACTTATAACCTACTTACTACCCAGAGGCTCCATAGTAGTTCCTTTTGGGGATAACCTTAAATTACCATATAGGATTCTATATACGAACCCCAAAAGGAGCTGCTTTGGAGCCTTAGGGTAGGTACTCATACTTGGGGCCGACCTTAAAAATTGGAATAGGGTCTTTATAGGGGTATCTGTTTCTATCATTAGGATAAGGAGCCCCCAAAACACTATTCTAATTATTATTATTGTTATTATTATTATTATTATTAAGGTCCCTAGATTACCCAGTACTCCAACCCCTATTGTAGGCATCTCAGATTTTATGCGCCCTAAACCCTAAAAGTCCTGCAAAGACCCTATGCATGAAGACCCGACAGAACCCTTAACCCTAAACCCTGAACCCGAAACCCTAAACCCGGAACCTTTACCCCGTGGGAAGCTGCGGAGCCTTCTCAGCTCCATGGAGCTTCATGGCAGCGTTCAGCGCCTCACGATGGTGAGATTTGGGGGTTTCCGGAAAAAGGGGGCCCTGATATAGTACCCTAAATAGTAGGATCCTTGTTATAAGGGGGTACCCCTAATTTTCGGAAACTCCCATTTCAATCTCTGAGACGTTTCGGGGTCAGGGTTTAGGGTTTATGGGGCTTAGGTATTGTGGTAGAGGGTTTAGGGTCTGAAAGGTTTAGGGTCACGAGACATACGGTTCGGAGTTTCGAGTAGTTAAAGGTTCAAGGTTTTGAGGGCAACAGAAATCTAGTAGAAATAGAAACGATCACAACCACAAGATCAAGAACCAGACTGGCTAGGTGACCAACACGGAAATACCCAACAAGAATACGATGAGTAGTGGTGATACGATGACACTAGACCCTGAACCCAAACCCTAGATTCTACACTCTGAAACCTAAGCCCTCAACCCCGAACTCTAAACCCGACAAAATAAATCGAAACCCTAAACCGAAATCCTGAAGCTAAACACTGGATCCCTAATCCGAAACCTCATCCTGGGCCTCAAACCAAAGCAAGACAACCTGCACGGACTGGGGCCAAGGGCCTAACATAGGGCCTATAGTTGGGATGCGACATGGAAAGGTTCTTCAAGCGGTTCTATAAGGCCTTTGTAGGGTCTGTGATACGGGCCTTAATTGGGGTTTCACATACACTACACCGTTTTGAACATGAAAACCGTCAGGAATGGTACGGGCATTTGTTCAGGCTCCGACATTCTAACGTTTTCAAGCTGCATCCGGATCCTAAGAGCCCTAGAACCCGAACCCGAAAAAACGTCCCTCTTCCCCAGTGTGATCGCACAGAAACCCTAAACCCCAAACCCCAAACCTGCTCTCTCCCGTTTCGAGCCCACCTTGATGTCCTCCTTGCTGCGAGGGGTGGCCAACTGCAGACCCTCATCAGCGCAGGCCCTCTCTGCCTCAACCCAGGACCTGCAAACTGTAGGTTTAGGGTTTAGGGTTTAGGGGACTGTACCTATAGTCTCCATTGTAGTTCCTTTTTTTGGTCAACCCCAAAAACTCTGTTATAGGATCCTAACCATAGAATTGGATAACCAAAAAATGGAACTACAATGGAGACTGTAGGTAAGGCCCAATTAGAACAAGGCTCTTCCGGGGATCGTGGGTTTAACGTAAAGTGAGAGGATTAAGGGACTTAGGAAGTAGGGTGTAGTCTTTAGGGCTTTCAGGGTTTCAGGGCTTAGGGCTAGTCAGGGCGGTAGGGTTTTACGGTTTAGAGTTTGGGGCTTTAGGGGTTGGGGTTTTGGGGTATAAGAGTACCATACATCATGAAACCTGTAGCTATGCAGCAAAGCGGCTTGTTCTCCAACGAAATGACGTACTTGGACATGTTGGCAGTGCGAATGTCCTGAAGGCACTGCTGGTTCAAGACCAGCGCCTCCATCTTCCATGTCCTTGGCAGGAACTCTGGGTTCGTTTAGGGTTTAGGGTTTAGGGTTTAGGGGTTTAGGGTTTAGGGTTTAGGGTTTAGGGTTTAGGGCTGAGGGTTCAGAAGGGGCTGGGCTGTTTGTGGATGTCCCTTGCAAGCGCTTCAGTCGCCCCCTAAGAACAAACTGCAAAATCAGGGCTCGTGGCAGGTGGGTTGGTAAGGACTGGTACGCTTTTAAGGGCTAAGGGTTCCTGTACAGGATCTGTCAGCGTACTATCAGTTAGGATCAGGCACGCCTGTCGCGAAGATGGTCTCAAAACCCATACCCACACCCTACACTTTTACACCTATAACAAATAAGCCTAATCAAATAGAGTGTTTCCGAAGACCATTTTCACAACAAGCGTGCCTAGGTTGATAGACTTTGTGGGTGTTTGGTGGTTCGGGGCTTGCGGGCAGTAGATGATACAATATAGTTTTACTATGTTGCATCAATTACTGAATTTCATCAAGGGGTTGTAGTGATTCAAGATATTCTATGTGTTTCAACGTACAACACCCTTCAGCGGCATGAAAATGAAAGTCTGCTGAATTGAAAGGCTTGCCGCAGTAGAGTCCAAGTCATTGGCGCGCCAATATTGCAAACTTATTAGGGGTTTTGGGAGACTGCGATTGACGAAAAGAGTCACTCTACGACCCAAGCCCTGTATAACCAAAAAACACATAAATTATATCAACCTAGGCACGCCTGTTGGGAAAATGGTCTTTGGAAATACCCTATTTGATTAGGCTTATTTGTTATAGGTGTAAACGTGTCGGGGGTGGGTATGGGTTTTGAGACCATCTTCGCGACAGGCGTGCCTGATCCTACCTCTATCAAGGTTTAGGGGCTTCAGGCCTTTAGGGGAAAACATGCAGAGTCTTGCTCAAGTCCAGAAGCGTTGTTGGCCTGGGGGGGGGGGGCACGATGACTTATTTTGTTTTCGTGATGTCGTATTCCAATACCAATGATGATGATGACGATGATGATGGGTTTAGGCGCCAGGTGGTTGGTAAGAGGGGGGGGGGCTAGTAGTAGCAGTAGTAGTAGTAGTAGTAGTAGCAGTAGTAGCAGTAGTAGTAGTAGTTGTAGTAGTAGTAGTAGTAGTAGGAGGAGGTAAGTAGGTAGGTAGGTAGGTAGGTAGTAGTAGGTAGTATAGTAGTAGTAGTAGTAGTAGTAGTAGTAGTAGTAGTAGTAGCAGTAGTAGCAGTAGTAGTAGTAGTAGTTGTTGTAGTAGTAGTAGTAGTAGGAGGAGGTAAGTAGGTAGGTAGTAGTAGGTAGTATAGTAGTAGTAGTAGTAGTAGTAGTAGTAGTAGTAGTAGTAGCAGTCAGTTATAGTAGTGTTGTGCGAGGATCATCGTTCAGGGCTTAGGGGTGTAGGGGTTTAGGGGGTCAGGGTTAAGCCGTCCTATTGCATGTGCTAGTCCTTCAACAGTACGACACATTTGTGTTTTCCCCACTTCCACCTTGTGACCCTGGTGAGAAGAGGTCCAGAAGCCATACAAAGAACTTCAAGGAAAAGGATGTCTGTAAGCGTTCACCCTAAACCCTAAACCCTAAACCCAACCTCCTTGATGCCGGGTGTCTCGAAGCCGTCAACAACTTCTACGGTCTCCGCCGAATCCCCCAGCTGCATCGTCCAAGTACCTTGTGAACGGTTTAGGGTTTAGGGTTGAGGGTTTTAAGCCCTAAACTTTAGGGTTTAGGGTTTAGGGTTTTAAACCCTAAACTTTAGGGTTTAGGGTTTAGGGTTTAGGCATGGCATCTCGCTTTACAGCTTGGTTGGTCCTGCAGCATTTGGGCTTGCGTCTGCCTGCAAGCATCCTTCGAAGTTCTTACATGTGTAGGAAGCTGCCCAGTGCGTCAACACCAGATGCCGAAACTGCAAACGAGTCACCGTTGCAGACCTGGCAATGCGCAGATCGAGTGCCAAGCTCGTCAAGCAGCAAAAACATGCACACAGAGATGAATGTTTCTTTGTAAGTGTGTGCTTAGATAGACTTACTGACATGTATACGCGCATAAAGGTGTAGCACCATACCTGCAAAACGATTTGACTTCCTGGCAGCGCTCCGGCATACAGTTTATCCATGTATATACGACCCGACAGGGATAGCTTTAGCACAGCAAGCAAGCAAATGCCACAAGTGCTGTGAGCAGAATGCATCCGAGAACTTGTTAAAGTCCCTAAAGGAGAAGGAGAGCGCTGCGGAACACACTGAGTCGCCCCAGTTTGGTGCTTGGCGCAATCTAGGAGCTAGTTTTAGTGCGGGATCAAGCAATAACAATATTACCAGTACTAGTCAAAACAACAGTTCAAAAGTAGTAGTAGTAGTAGTAGTAGTAGTAGTAGTAGTAGTAGTAGTAGTAGTAGTAGTAGTAGTAGTAGTAGTAGTAGTAGTAGTAGTAGTAGTAGTAGTAGTAGTAGTAGTAGTAGTAGTAGTAGTCGTAGTAGTAGTAGTAGTAGTAGTAGTAGTAGTAGTAGTAGTAGTAGTAGTAGTAGTAGTAGTAGTAGTAGTAGTAGTAGTAGTAGTAGTAGTAAGTAGTAGTTAGTAGTTAGTAGTTAGTAGTTAGTAGTTAGTAGTTAGTAGTTAGTAGTTAGTAGTTAGTAGTTAGTAGTTAGTAGTTAGTAGTTAGTAGTTAGTAGTTAGTAGTTAGTAGTTAGTAGTTAGTAGTTAGCAGTTAGCAGTTAGCAGTTAGCAGTTAGCAGTTAGCAGTTAGCAGTTAGCAGTTAGCAGTTAGCAGTTAGTAGTTAGTAGTTCGTTCGTAGTTCGTAGTTCGTAGTTCGTAGTTCGTAGTTCGTTTTTCGTAGTTCGTAGTTCGTAGTAGTAGTAGTAGTAGTAGTAGTAGTAGTAGTAGTAGTAGTAGTAGTAGTAGTAGTAGTAGTAGGCATAACAACACTAACTACATCAGAAATCATGATAAGGACAGGGGAGCCCGGCATTGGACCAAGATTGGGCGGTTCATGATTTCCGAATGAAACGTAGGGTTTTGGGCATGTGTCCAAGCCACCTCCCGTTGTGTCGCGATGCCCTTGCAGTCGACTCGTTCCGCACATTCGATCTTGGCATCCTCGAAAACTGGACCATGTTGGAACTTACCAGGCGTAGTTTGATTATGTGCTTTCAGAAAAGCCAGACCCAACACACTCTGTGGAAGCCTGTCATGAAACTCTTCTGGTCTCGCGTAGGGTTTAGGGCTTCAGGCAGGGTGAGGATGGTTTTGTATCTGGGCTTCTAGGGTTTATGCAGGAACTGCAGCCACAGAAGCATCCAGACTGGGAAGACACCTCGGCTCCGTATTGAGGCCCAGACATGTTGCAACAAGAAAACAACCTTGGGATGAGACTGTGCTATATGCACTGGAATCACCTTTACCATCATCACAACCAGCATAGGTAGCAATTGCAGTAGTAGTCATCGTCGAGTCGTCGTGGTGCAGTCTTCGCTTCCGCACATGAAGAGGGAAATTAAGGCCCAGACTGCAAGCCTACCACCCTAAACCCTAAACCGGTTTCAAGCGTGCACTGCGAGGTCCGTGTTGAGAGCCTCCGAAGCTCAAAATCAGCCATAGGATTTAGGAGATCAGGGGTTTAGGCGAAGACCCTATCTCAAACTTTTCGAAGGTTTAGGGTTTAGGGTTCAGGGACGTGGCGGTGGCAGGGGAGGGGGGGGGTGATCTGCCAGCCAGGCAGCTCGTCAATCGCTTGGGCCTCCTTGAAATGGCAGCCCTGTCACCCAAAAAGAAGCTGGAGGTTTTTTTAAGCTGGAGGATTTTTTGAAGCTGGAGGGTTTGGGGCTTAAGGTTTATGGTTTAGGGTTCAGGGGTTTAGGGGGTTAGGGGTTTAGGGTTTAGGGTTCAGGGCTTTAGGGGGTTAGGGGTTTAGGGGTTTAGGGGTTTAGGGTTTAGGGTTTAGAGTTTAGGTTTAGGGTTTGCTTTGGGCTGCGGAGCTTAGAGGTTGGGGCATTCGAGTCAAGCTGATGTTGTACGGCCATGCCTGCTGCCGATGGGGATTCCAAACTTAGGGCGTCAGTGTTTGCACCTCAAGCGGCTTCGAGTGGGGATTCTGTTGCTTAGACGCTGTGATTAAACTTTGAAGCCTTAATGAGTAGAATAGGGTTTTGGGCCCATTATGCTATAACTATAATACTGAACCCCAAAAATAGCATGTGTAATTATTGAGGCCCCTATGTTACACTTCTTCGGTCGTACTTCGACTTAGGGAATCTACGAGGTATCGCGCCTCTAGAAGAAACTGGAGCTTGGGCACTTGGGTGTGACACTGTGACACCTGTGGAGGTGCGTAATTTTTGCAGAGCACCACCCGTGAGCGCAGAGACTGTGTGCACAGCTTGAATGGTCTTTGCCGATGCACAGCCACCCAAACGTGCCCAAACCCTCGGAACCATAATCATCGAAGAATGAAGAAATACGAATAAACCTGATAATAGTGATCAGAATACTCATAGTAACTTTAATAATCATACTTCAACAATGACTTAACAGTGGGCCTTGCAATCCTTCCAGCACTGTGACTCGCGCTGCAGCTGCTCCCGACGCTTGCGGAGCTTCTCCTCCTCCAAGGAGGTTCCCCAAAGGGGTTTTAAGCTTTTTGCGGTTTTAGGGTTTCGGGTTTTAAGTTGTAGGGTTTCGGGTTTCGGGTTTAGGAGACGGAAGCCCGGAAAAAGCTGGCATCTGGCTTGAATCGAATGCCGTTTTTACTCTATTGAGCTTGATCGAAACTCTCTAGGATTCAGAGCTCAAGGTTTCCGGTTCAGGGTGTAGGGTTTAGGGTTTCGGGTTTCGGGTTTAGGGTTTCGGGTTCAGGGTTTAGGGTTTCGGGTTTAGGGTTTCGAGTTTAGGGTTCAGGGTTTAGGGTCTAGGATTCAGAGCTTCGAGTCAGGTCGATCAAACCCCGGTAGATCCCCAAACTTCGATTCTCTGGGTACGGCCCCCATGCAGAAACAGTCCTATAATGGGGCTACGATTAAGGTCCTAATATACCTACATTATGAATATTCTCCAACTGTGTTACTGAGTGGGGGCAGTATCCCTGGAGGCGAGCGCGCGAGCCTCTTTGAGCTGCTCCGGATTTGTCCTCAGCACGGAAGCTTTGGGGCCTTGATGATTAGAAGAGGGTTCCCTTTAAAGGCGTTCCTATAAGGGCTACTATAAGGGCGCTTTTGAAGAACACGAGGGCGTCGGAGTGTTTTCGGAGGGCATCAATCTGTATTTCCCCCAGAGTACCCTTATAGTTTCCCTTAAAGGGAACACTTATACGTCAAGCCGGGGGAAGCAAGGTTTAGGGTGTTGGCTTTGGGGAGTTAAGTTCTTCTTGACGCTCGCAGAGGCATCACACAAGACGAGCCTTCAACCAAGACCTGCTTCGAGTGTTGGGTGCAGGGTCCAGCGTTGAGGGTCCAGGGTTTCAAGCTTAGTCATGTTCAGGCTGACTAGCTTTTATGACGACTTTATCAGGATGCCGTAGAGGCTTGGGGTACTTGCATAGGACCTCGGATTGTGGAACCATGGCCTATTTACTGGTTTAGGGGTTTAGGGTTTAGGGTTATGAATACTCCAGCTAGGAGGGTGTTTTTCTTACCGTTTGCACTACTTTGCTACCCTGAGTCATGTTGTTATGAGAACAGTTCGCGCTGTTCGAAGCAATATCATCCCTGAATCGAGATTGCCCAACTCGCCTCCCAAACATTGAACGCTCTCGGCAAAAAACTAAGCACCTACACCCGAAACCCCTTAGACAAGCCTTAAACCCTAAACCGTACACTGCATAAGCCCCTAAACCCTAAACCCTCAATGAGCTTCAGTCACCCCCATGAACCCGGAAAAAACAGACCCTGAACTTAACCCTAAACCATCAGCCACAAACCGCGAACCTCGAACCACAAAGCCTGAACCCTCAACCCGTAAATAGTCCATGAAACACTGTGAGTATCGTATCACTACCATGAAAAGTCGCTCCAAAACACCAAAGGCATTATTACAAGACCTTTTCAAAGCCATCTTCAGTCCTTCCGATGTCAGACCGCATAGATCGACGCAACCATACACCCAAAACCGTATACTCTTTTTTCGAGGCCTCAATAATTAGAATAGGGTTTTGGGGTATAGTATACGACAACTATAAAAATGAACCCCCAAAAAAAGTATAGGTATTACCAAGGCGCCTACATTATACCCTAAACCCTAAACCCTAAAACCCTATATTATACTCTTATATCAATCAACTTCGCACCCAAGGCCAGGCGCTTGTTGAGCCGCTGGGATTCCATGGTGGAGTTCATCTTCAACAACTGCAGGGCTTTAGGGGTCAGAATCTTGCGTCAAGGGGTCTAGGGCTTAGGGCTTACGGGGTTTAGGGTTTCTTCTGAAGGTCTTTGTCCACAGCTTCGGTAAGGGGCATACGACTTCTAGGGCTAGGGTTAAGGTTAAGGGCTCTGGGGCTTAGGGTTTAAGGTTGCGCATTTAAAGCAGTCCCACCATAATTCCCTCAACCCTAAATCCAAAACCCTTAGGTTGCGCAAGGTTCAGACTGTGGGGGTTTACCGTTCAGGGTACCAACTGACAGAAACCAGGCAAGCAGATCCATGGCTTCGCATAAATCAAAGAGATCTTATGACTCTCTTGGCTTCTTTACTGGTGTGTAGTTGTCAAAATTAGGGCTCCTGTTTGGGTCCCTATTATGATACGGCACCTGATATTTAGGGTGCCCCAGAAAGGGCCCATATTTTTGACAACCACCCTGGTGTTCGAAAGGCCTCCTGCTTGTAAGGCATCAAGTCGCTGATGATGCTGTCGATGGTATCTGCGCAAGACTTCGGGGCTGGATGCGGGAGACGGCTGTAAGGCAGGTAGGAAAGGTGTTTAGGGTATAGGTGATTTCCGGGGTAAGGGTTAGGTATTTAGGGTGCAGGTCTTCTTGACGTCAGAACCGTCAGCTTCGCCCGCAAGAAGCAGCCTGAAGGACCAAATTACGCTTAAATGTAAGGCCCTATGCACATATACTATGAAGCCCTATATGGTATAATGAACCTTAAACCCGTTTAGGGTTCATTTCGTCCTCAAGGAGAGCAATCTGCAGTGGAATTCTGGCGCACGCATCCCCGCGGGCCTTGCATCGGATCGAAACCTAAAGCAGCCACCATCTGGCCGTCTGAAGCCGCCTTGCCAGCAGACTTGGGTTTAGGGTTTAGGGTTTAGGGGCTTAGGGTTTAGGGTTTAGGGTTTAGGGTTTAGGGGTTTAAGGTTTAGGGTTTAGGTGTTTAGCGCTGAGGGTTTAGAGGTTTAGGGTTGAGGGTTTAGGGGTTTAGGGTTTTTTTTGGTGTTTTAAAGTGCTTAGGGTTTAGGTTTAGGGGTTTAAGGTTTAGGGTTTAGGGGTTTAGGGTCCAGGGTTTAGGGGTTTAGGGTTTAGGGGTTTAGGGGTTAGGGTTAGCAGTCGACAACTTACCTTTGGTTAGTAGGGGTGCTTAGTAGGGAATGGAAGAATGGTAGTAACAGTAGATATAATTCTACCCCACTCCACCATTCCCTACTAAGCCAAGGTAAGCAAATCTGCAACACATTCGGGACTATAGGAGAATACTAGCAGGGCACAGCCTTCCTAATCCGAATCTGCATCCGCATCCTCAGCACCATCACCCTCAGCATGGCGACCAGATAGCAGGGAGCACAATCGCGCTGGCCATAACAGCAATGACATAACATTGATACCTTTTCGGTAACCCTAAATACTAGCTGCCGTATTGTCATGGGGACCCAAAAAGGGATCATAATTTCGACAACCACCCAGTCATATCTAGAAAGCCAACGTGGTTACGCAAACGGAAGGACGACAGAGCACAGGGGACTTCCCCTTCATTTGGCATCCCCTAAGGGTCCAAGTGCCCAAATAGTAGGGTTTCAAGGTCCAAAAACCATAACCCTAAACCCTAAACCCTAAACCCTAAACCGTGGCTGGGACCTAGAACCCTACTATTTGGGTACTTGGACCCTCTGGGATCAGCACTCTATCATCACAACGACGAAAATAACTTGAACAGTTTGGAGTACCGGACAAAAAAATCAAACAGCATGAGTAGTAATCAGACTAAGAAGAATGATAATGGTAGTAATAGCTATGATAAGCGGGATAACAATGATAATCGCTGACGCCCTGTTGGGCGCAAACCTCAAGCAGCGGCTCTCGCAAAACATAATTCTGCAACCTTCCAGAACCGAAAATAATATGCTGAACTAGAACACAGCATAGAATATTCTAGCAGAATATACTTTGCTTTCCTATAATCTACTGCGATGTACTGGGATAAAATAGAAAAAACATTAGATAGAGCAGAACAGAATAGAATAGACTAGAATAGACTTAGAACAGATTACATAATCGAACAGAATAGAACAGAACAGAATAGAATGGAACAGAATGTAACAGAATCGAGTAGAAGAGGACCAACCTGTGGCTCACTCTGATTCGGAACGCCCGAGACCTGAGAAAGGATTTAGGGCTTCGGCTGTTAGGGGCTTTGGAGCTTAGAGTTCTCGGGGTTTGAGGGTTAAGGGGCTTTGCGGGTTGGGGTTATAGGGATTTAGGGTTAAGGGGCTTTAGGGTTAAGCATTCAAGGTTTATGATTACAGGGGTTTAGGGCCTAGGGGCTTTGGAGTTTAGGGTTTAGGCTTATAGGGGTTTAGGGTTTAGGGTTATAGGGGTTCCGGGCTTCAGATGAGTGCGCAGGAAGTTGTTCCTCTTCTGCTACAGCTATGTGCTATTGCGCTGAAAACGGACGACGACTCCTGAATACTGCGACGAGGACGGGGCAAACGACAACCACTGCTGCAGCTGTAGGTACTCCTCGTGATAAGCTTGATCGAAGCGTGCCCTGGTTGAGTCTCATCCTTGTGCGAATTGTCTTTCTTGACCTTTCAATCGGCGAAGGCGTTGCGCACGGCTATCATCGCTCTTCAGGTCCTGCTGGTGCTGGTGATGATGACTGCGGCGGCTATGATGAGGAAAGGCATGATGATCGCATCACTATTGTAGCTGTCATCACCGTCATCACTATACTTGCAAGAAGAGTACCGATCTTTCAACCCATAAGTTGGGATGGTGGCAAGACGAGCCTTACAGCTTCCGGGGTGCCCTGCTCTGACTGAGTACCCACGAACACCGAAAGCGCTAAAAGGAGAATCTGGGATGTATCAGCCGAGAACTTCGTCTCATCTTCTAGCCGTTGAGGGACAATGTAGGGGCTATAAGAACCAGACTAGGGTTTTAGGGGCCATTACACTCTAAATTGAAGAAGGAACCCCAGAATAGTAGTGGTAGTTAACCTAAACCCTACAGTATCACAGAACTCCCAGAATAGTAGTGGTAGTAACCTAAACCCTAAACCCTAAACTACAGTATCACCGAAGCACTGAAACCCGGAGGAGACTGAGCCGGCTGCCTCCTGCGATGCCAGCGGCTGCTGCTGAGTGAAGGGAGCAGGCTCCTCAAACCCCGAAATTTTTCGAAAACCCTATCAACCCTAAAAGTCCTAAACCTTGAACCCCCTAAACCCTAAGCCCCTGAAACCCTAAAACCTGAACCACCAAAACCCGAAAAGCAGTGACCTGGCTTTGGGAGGTCGACGTAGCAAGGAAAAGACACGGGCAAGGGTACAGGGTTAAGGGTTTAGGGATCAGGGTGTAGGAGTGTAGGGTTTAAGTGGGGTCAGGAGGGTCAGGGGGTCAGGGTTTAGGGCTTAGGGGTTCAGGGTTTCGGGGCTTGTGGTTGTAGGGCTTTAAAGGGGTTTGGCATTAGGGTTCAGGGTTCAGGGGAGGGCCTGGAGGACAACAGAGATGGCGTCGTCTCAGATGTTTGCTTGCTCTCCGACAAGAACTACAGGGTTCAGGGTTTAGGGTTTAGGGTTTAGGGTTTAGGGTTTAGAGTTTAGGGCACTTTCTGACGTAGATGCGGCGGATACATCGGAACTAGGACAGATGATTTTAGACTGTGATTGGGGCACCTATGTGGCGCTGCACGACAACTGGGGATTGGGGATTCGTGATATAGTGAACATGTCTGTTTGCCATGCCTCTGCTTTGCGATACTTCTCTCATGACTGTATGCCTGGATTGAAACATCTTGCGCACCTGATGTGCACCTCACAGTTCAGGCCGGTGCAGCTCTCGGAAATGACAAGGACTGCTCCCGAGTTGTCGGGCGACATTGCGTCTGCGTTGCACCGGTTCATTTCCAAGGCTCCAGAACCGCTCTAGCTATATAAGGCTCCCATTGGCTTTATTACTCAATGCTTAAACTTCTTTCCGTTGAAGCATGGACATACACGAGAGCAAATATGGAAACCCAAAACGGGACCCGGGTTGAGAGCTGAGCGCATGCATCCCCCTCCGACCTGCTCCTGCTCCTCCAGCGCCGGCAAGGAAAACGGCCTCAATGCCAGAAAATAGACCCCTTGAAGGAACCCTTTGAAGTGACCCAATACAAAAACCCTGTAGATCCCTATAGACCCCTGAAAGGGTCCCTTCAACTTGTTGAGGCTAACGGCCGAGCGGGCAGTTCCGGCAATCCACGGCCCGGCCAGCAGTAGCAGAAAGCAGAAGAAAGCATATCAGGTCACAGTGATGTGGAGGCAGAAAGGATGGCCGTAACTCGAGTACGTAGACCTCCGACTACTAAACCCTCGCTTTCTGAGTGTTATTGGTGGGGGGGGTTACTAATCCAGTATGTTATAGTATAGCATAGAAGAGTATAATATACTATGTCATGATATATTCCATTACGACCCCCTACACCCTAAACCCTAAACCGCCTTCGAACGCAAAAAAGGCCCTCGAATGTCTGAGACTCGCGCTCGGCGGTCTCCACCTTTCGGAAAGCGCACTTTTTGTATCAGGCTCCGGCAAAGACGAGAAGGGTTAGGAGTTTCGGGTTTAGGGTGAGAGCATAATACTTTCTGTGGCTGCTATCATGCACTTGCTGTAGCTGCTGTCATGCCTTGATTTGCGAGATGCCGGCGTGGTGATAGCGGGAAACTTATGATCTTTTAGGCTGCTTCGCTACTCATTATCTGATTCCTGGGAATGCTTCGTAATAATGCCGTTCTTGAAGTGCCGGCTCATGCTCCAAAACGGCGCTTTCCGTCGGCCATGTCATGTGATCAGCGGCCTACGCACGCAACCCTAAACACTAAATCCTAAATGCAGTGTGGCCAGCCTCTCCAAGAGCATCAACGCCCAGATCACCTCCATCTAGCAGACCTTCGAGCTTGAAACGCGTCGGCTTTGCTTAAGAGCAGCCTGAGATCTGAACCCTAAACCTCAAACCCTAAACCCCAGGCCGCGAACCTCGAACCCTAAACCCTCAAGCCTAAACCCCAATCCGTAAACTCTAATCAGGATCAAGGTGTAGATTTGGCAGGGAGTTGCATGCGATGTAGAGGCCTCAATAATGTGAACAGGCTTTTGGATCCATTATGGTTTACAGCTTAATTAAGCTTTCGGTTTTGGATCCGTTATTATTGTTCAGGGTTAAGGGTCTATGGGTTTGGGGCTTCAGCTCCCCACGGAATGGCACCGTCAGTTCTTTCGGCCCTTGTCGTATCTTCTCTCCAAGGAAAAAACTGTCAAATTTTACCATCACTCTGGAGCCCAGGGTTCGGGGATGTAGGGGGGGGCGCATATAGTTCAGGCTGGATATGTGGTCCAGTTCCACTTCTGCTATGCACTAAAGATATTAAATATAAAAATACATACTAATCATACTAATAATAACTAACAATAATAATAAGCAAAAATAACAACAAATAATTATACTAATCATGGATAACAGTAATAAAATGAATAACAATAGTACTAATACACTAATACTAATAATGACAGGGAGGACAACAAGCGGTCCGAAGGATCCCCGGCCCACCTGCAGCAAGCTTTTCGGTGCGAAGAAGCGACTTCCTGCTCGGACAGAGGGCTGTGATGTGAGTGGTTGTCACAATTAGGGTCCTCTTTTGGGTCTCTATTATTATTATCATCTATTTTTATTACTGTCATTATCGTTATTATTAGTTTGGGGTTCCTATTATAATACGGCACCTATTATTTAGGGTAGCCAAAAAGGAACCTTAACTTTGACAAGTACCCATGTAGTTGATCGGAGGGTGCCGGCTTCGGCAGAATCTCGGAGCCGCTGATAAAGTTGCTGGGGCCACTGTAGGTACCGCGCACAACGAAGCTGTTGCGACCAAAGTGTAGAGCAGCTGATGGAGGAAGTTTAGCTGCTTTTGAGTTACTATGCGTGTCAGTCGTTGCTCTTAAGGTTTGGGGCATGTGTGTGAAGCGGTCGCTATGCCCCCCATCCTCCCCCCTATTCCTGACCACCCCAAATGACCTGCTTGAGTTGCGGGAACAAACTGATGAGGTGAAGGTACAAGGACTGTGAGGAAACGCCGCAAATTAGCGGTGCAGCTAGGACGGTGACGATCGGGGGTTGTCTACTTCTGCCACTACCGGTACTACGTACCGCTGCTGCTGCTGCTACTACTACTACTACGACGACGATGACGATGTCGACGACGGCAACTAGGCATGGAAGCCTGAGGAATGTTACTCCCACTGACTCAGGGTTGCAACAATGAGGTCACAACTGCTCCGAAAATCTCCAGCCAAAGTTGTGGTGGGTGGCTCGGCTTTGGGCCGCTACCGGCTGGATCCTATATCGGAGTTTCCCAAAACACATGGGCGTACCGTATTTGGGGGTCCTTATAACGAGGATCCTACCATTTAGGTTACTCTATTGGGGTCCCCTATTGTTGGAAACTCCCATATCCTAAACCTTAAAACCCCACGCCCTCAATGCCAAACTTACCTTGGGTTGGTAGGGAATGGAGGAATGGGGTACAAGTATAACTACTATTACTACCATTCTTCCATTCCCTACTAACCGAAGGTACAGTAGAAGCCAGAAAGTTGGAATATCATTATGGTAACCCCTTTAAGGTAAATTATAGGGGATCCTACCATTAATCCATATTCCAACTTTCTCTAAACCTTCAACCCTACACCCTCAATGCCAAATGAGACTTCCAAGTTCCCTGACTCTTTGCGCATGGGGCTGAAGCCTTCGAGAGACCGTGCCCGCAGGACTGATGTCCACCTGCATTTAGAGTTTAGTAATAGTAGTAATAGTGGTAATAATAGTAGTAATAGTAGTAATAGTAGTAATAGTAGTAATACTAGTATTAGTTGTAATAGTAGTATTAGTTGTAATAGTAGTAATAGTAGTAGTAGTAGTAGTAGTAGTAGTAGTAGTAGTAGTAATAGTAGTAGTAGTAGTAGTAGTAGTAGTAGTAGTAGTAGTAGTAGTAGTAGTAGTAATAGTAGTAATAGTAGTAATAGTAGTAATAGTAGTAATAGTAGTAATAGTAGCAATAGTAGTAATAGTAGGGTTCAGTGATCTCATGACACTTCTGACATCCCCGATTCGCCGAGGACATGTCTGGAGCGCTGCTAAAAACACGGCTGTGTCATTAACAACGGCGCGGTAGCTCTGAACCAGATCCGTTATCGGCCGCTCCCTTCAACTAGTCTGGCTGCCTCAGCTCACTGCAGCACAGGATGGCTCCGCGCGATAGTTCCGGAATTCTGCTGCATTTCGGAGATATTGCTGCATTGCACCCTTGTAGAACCGATGTAGACCGCCATAAGCCCCCTTATCCCTTGTAAGGCCCCGTGGAGCTTTCTTTCAAACTCGTATGAAGCCAAAAAGATGAAACCCTATTGTAAAATCGTATGAAAGCCTACTGCAGGGGCCTTAATGAATTGATCTTGGTCTTCTTTATGAAATACTTGTAGTGACGAACTACGGAATCACATCGGTAATTGTGTAAGCTCCCGTAGCGTGAACATGATTTCTGCTCGACTGCCGCTCTGTGATCTGCCTCGTCGTGCTCCAACGCATCAAAGGCATCCTTCACCGTTGCTCGGCGAAAACGGGTCTCAGGGCTAAGGATGTGGGTTGAGGGTTAAGGCTTAGGTTTTTTTTTTGAACCCTCTTTTCTCCCTGCCTGAGTTAGGTTTAGGGTTTTAGGGAGTTTAGGGTTTGGCTGTAGGGTTGAGGGTGTTCGGCTGAAGGTCTATGTTTCGGATCTACGGTTCATTGTAGCGGCTCAGGATTGACAGTACAAAGACATCAGTGAGCTAGCGGCAGCACAACAGACAGGCGTCGGGCTGTGGCATTATAAAAAATACACAATCTACGGCACAACCAAAATAAGCAACGACAACTTCAGCAGAAGTAGCAGCAGCGAACAAAAACTGCACTCACAGAGGCAAGGCAACAAAGTTGCAAAGCAGGACGAGACAAATGGCCAGTACAGAGCAACTCCAATGAAATCTGCAAGGCTCAGCATCCATGTGTGACGGGCTACGTACAGCTTCCTCCAAAGAGCATCGGGCATTCCTTGATCATATGAGCTGTGGTATGTATTCCTGTTTGTGTGGAGAGAAATAAGGAAACCCTTGCGGGGGGACCCTTCCGCTTGCTTCCGTGTGCGAGGGTTTAGCTTCCGCGAGCCTCAACTTTCACATCGCTTCCGCGGCTTATTTCGCAACCGTTGTTTCGCTAAGTTTGCGAGGTTTGCTTCCGCAAGTGTGGGCTCAAGTCTTGAGGAGGCGGCTTGTTTAGGCAAACCACCTTAACCATCAACAAAGGATACAAGCTCACATAAAGAGCGCGAAGACACAAGCAAGCACATCTGAAAAGGGCCCAAAGTTGGCTTTCGGCTTCGGCTTTTCAACCCTTGTGGGTAAGGAGTTGCGGCGGGTTTCCAATCCATAATTGGCTGCGGACCTTCCGCGGAACGATTGCTTCCGCAGTGCTTCCGCTTGAATCCGCGCACACAGTCCCGTGCAAATTTTTGCGGCTGAAACCGTTATATTTCCTGCCTACTCATAATGAAAGAAGTGCGAAAAAAACACGGGTCATATGACGGCATAAAGTCTTACGGATGAGGGCTTAAAGGCATCAAATTTCGTGGGTTTGAAGACGGCCAGTTGAAATCCGTACCGGTGCTGACTGTGCTCCACCTCAAACGACAACACTGGCAAAACACTGCCCTAAACCCTAAACCCTAAACCCTATAAACCCTAAAACCCTAGACCGTGCTCCAAGCCTCACACCGTCAACCCTGGACCCCCTGGAGCTTGATCCTAAACCCAACTCCAAAACCCTGTAAGACCCTCTTAGAAGAGCCCGTAAGCCTTAAACCACCTCCAAGCCCCGCAGTAGCAGAGTCAAACCCAGCACCCTAAACCCTAAACCCTAAACCCTGAACCCTAAACCCTAAACCCTAAACCCTGAACCCTAAACCCTGAACCCTAAACCCTGAACCCAGAACCCTAAACCCAGAACCCTTGACACCCTAAAAAAGGGCAGTCCGTAGGGACTGTAACTGTCGAACATCTCGTGAGGAATGTGAAGGCCAGGGTGAAGGCTGACACCTTCATGGGTGTTTGTCAAAATTAGGGTTTAGGGTTCTGGGTTTAGGGTTTAGGGTTTAGGGTACCCTAACTAGTAGTATTATAATCATAAGGACCCAAAAAGGGACCATAATTTTGACAACCACCCTCGTTCCGGCCGAGGGTTGAAGGCTCATGGTCGCGAGGGTTTGGGGTTCAGGATTTAGGGTCTGAGGGTCTGAGGGTTTAGGGTTCGGGTTCAGGGTGGAGGGTTTAGATTTGACGGTCCAGGGTTTAGATTTTACGGTTATTTTTTTGTTTTTTGATTTTACGGTTCAGGGTTTAGGGTTTAGATTTTACGGTTCCGGGTATTATCACTAACTGCTATTTCTCTGGCTCCCCTGACTCCTAAGCAGCAGCTGATTTTGCTGCCACCCTGCTTGCTCATCCCCGTCGCACTGATTCGACGACTGCGACTGAAATTCGGATCGTGACGACGAAATCGGGCACAGCGGCCATGTCTTGCAAAACAACGAGCTCTGCCGCTCCTGGTACTCCTAGATTGTTCTACTCTTTCTTCTGCGACGACTACTACTTCTACCTCTTCTTCTACTACTCCTACTACTCCTACTACCCATACTACTCCTACTAGTCCTACTACTCCTACTACTACTCCTGCTACTCCCACTACTCCTACTACTCCTACTACTCTCCTACTCCCACTCTACTGCTCCTGCTACTGCTATCCACATTCTGTTCATTGCGGTGGCTCCCACTACAGGCCCTTCAACAATAAGCATAGTTTTCGACGGTATATTCTACTTCAGTCACAATGATAAGAATAGCCATAACAACAATGACAACAACAATAATCGTAATAATAGAGAATAGTAGATAATAATTACTATAATAATACATCAGAGTAATCATGATACTGAAAATAAACATAGCAACAAGGAGCCAGCCCGACCTTTGTATTACCAGCACTGAGGACCAGGCGCGGCCGGCCGGTCTGTTCATGGTATGCATATGGAGAAGAAGTCAGGCAACCTGGGTGAAGCTTAGGGCTTAGGATATAGGGTTTATAGGGTTTATAGGGCTTATAGGGTTTATAGGGTTTAGGGTTTAGGGTTTTGGATTCAGGACATAGCGATTAGGGTTTAGGACTTAGGGTTTAGGGTTCAGGGTTTCGGGGCTTAGGTTCGCCAGCCAAAGGCTTGTAGAGCTTATGCAAAGGCTCAGAGGAGTCTGTAAAGGGCTTCAACTGATGCAGCCTGATTGATGGTGGATGCGAAGTCATAAAGCATATATCAATCAAGGACAAGCTTGACAGACTTTGTTGAAAGCCAATGCAATCACACACAGAGCTAGTGGGAGTCTAAGTTTGAAGGGGTAAGACAATGTGATGCAGCATAGTGAGGTATGCAGCAGTGGCGGGCGATGGGACCAAGCCTTTGAGCCAACATGAAACCCGCATCATCCCATCCAAGGGTTCTTTGGAGGTTCTATCCTTCCTCCTTCTTCCTAGGCTTCACGAAAGCGACCGGTCGCTCCACCTCACGGCCTTCGAGTCGCCCGCCTCCGAATTTCATGTCGGGGGGGGGGGGGGCCTTAATTTTTTATAGACGGACGATAAGGTCTGATCACTATTCGACGGTTATGACCCACACAGACCTCTATGTATTCGAGTCCCGGGGCTCAGGACCCTTCCTTCGGGGGGCTCCGTGCGAGCAAGCGGCTTACGCTTGTTCAGCATGTTCCATGCCAGCCGCTTTGCTTTGGTTGAGCCGACATGGCTACGTCAAGGTGGCGACTTGAGAATGCACAGCGAAAGCCAGCATTGATAACGAGCGGAATAGGATAGAAGCATCGGGAATATCTTCATGGTCTTGACAGCAGTCACAGTGCCAGTGACACGAATTCTCAATGGCGACAGCATGCCTTCATGAACGCCGCGTGCCGCTATGATGGCTGGAACCATGGCTCTCAAATCCCCACCAGCATTACCATCACGATCGTCACAATGGCGGCTGTCCAGCATCATGAAAAACATCATCCGACACCGGAAGCCCAATGTACCACCGCTTTGCAGCTCTCGGCCTGACACCGTTTTCACCCGTCTGCGGCCACGAGGGATTGTGGAGACAATACAAGACATCAATGGAATTCTGGATTCCTGCAAGACCCAACGCCGTCCGGAATTCCAGGATCGGAGCCATCGTATGACTCATTTAGGGCTTAGGACTGAGGGGAGCTACACCCCTTTGGACGAAAACGCCGATTGCAAGCAGCGAGATACCGGACAGCTGTACAGGTCCATGCAATCCATGGCAGCCGGCAGGTGGATCCTTGAAAACCCATCTTCGGCAACAATGCTTCGAGATCGGGAGTCCGATCGGATGTTCCGGGGGTGGGGGAGGGGTGCGGCATCCCTGTGTCTGCAGATACGGGGCAGATGGTGGGTCAAACAGCTGCTTGGGGCGGATGTGGGAAGAAACGCCCACTGGCCCATCGAACTTCACGAGGCTTTGAGGCTTCTACCACGGGATCTCTTTCGAAGGTTTTGCAGCTTCCGAGAGGCTGGATTCCCTCTGGGAAGCACTTTGAATCAATGCGGAGCACCTGACCCTTGAGAAGAAGTACTACCCAGCAATCTAGCTGCTGGGACGAAAGGAAAACCAGTATTCATCACGTAATCCTTTCTAGGTTTCAGGCGCAGTACTACGTGGCAATCACCATGTTCCTAGAAGCTTCAGAGGCTGCAGATCAACTTGATGACCTCCATCTTGCTCCCTAGAACCCGAAAGCTTGGTCATGCCACTATGGCTGGAAGGCCTAAAACCGGCCTAAACCCGGATCAAGCGTGCTCCGTACTCGGCAAACAGCCAGTGCGCGATGGGCATGAACGGAGTCCGTCTTCAGCATTACGCCTAGGATCTCTGGCCTATACAAAGCTGAAGTGCGCCTTTGCTTCTCCATCTGATGGCAGACGCGCATGGTCACAAAGACTCAACAAGCCGCATGCCCGGCTCACATCGTCACACACTGGTCGGTGCAGCGATCTGTGCAACGATCACACTTGTCGGAACAGCGATCACCTCCACCACCTCCAGTCCTGGTGCTGAACGCAACAAGGGATCCCTAGGGGCCGAAGCCACTGCGATCACGGCAACTTGACGAGGTAACTCCGCCACGGGTATAACCCCCCTAGATTCAACAAATCCGAGACGCGACGTATCGAGAGTTTCTCCTCACTGGCGGAAACTGGACAGCTCTGCACGTCTACATGGTCCATCCTTTTTCCTCGCCCGGGTTTGGTTCCTCCTGAATGTCGAAGACACAAGCTGGGTTGCACGGTGCTAGTAGTTCGGGGCAGATCTTCTAGCAGTCGTTGCTTGTGGTTCCTCGGCATTCGCCTGGCTCCTTGTACGGTCCAAACTACGGTCACAAGCATGGTATACATCACCGTAGCAAGGTTCCTCAAATGGACGCATGTGTGTGTGTGGGGGGGGGAGGGGGGGGAACGAAAGAAAGACGAAAGCAAAAAAGAAAAAGAAGGAAAGAGACAACGAAAGAACGACACAAAGAAACAACGAATGAATGGAATAATGAAACGGTGAAAAATTAAAAGAAAGAAACAAAGAAAGAAAGGTAGGTAGATAGATAGATAGATAGCTGTGTACATATTTGTAGAATACATAGGTACATACATACATACATACATACATACATACGTACATACATACATACGTAAGTACATATATACGTACGTTCATGCGTTCAACAATACATGCATACATACGTGCATACGTGCATACATACGGGCACACTGACATGGATGCATGCATGTATGCACTGCACACGGACAAAGACACATCTATGCGGATAGACACATGCACATGTGCAGTATACCTTAGCATACCTCATCTGCTCTAAACCCTAAACCCTAAAACCCTAAAACCCCAAAACCCTAAACCTCAGCTGCGCAGGCACCTCCCCCGCTCCACCTCGAAGGGCTGCATTCCCCGGTTCTGCGACGGCCGGTGCTTAGGATCGGAGTGAGGGCTCAGGGCTTGAGGACTTTTTTTGGGGGGGGCTCCTTTTCCGACTGGGCTTGAGGATTTAGGGCTTTAGGGTTTTAAGGCCTTAAGGTTTTAGGGGTTTAGGGTTGTAAGGTTTAGGGTTTTAGGAGTTTAGGGTTTCAGGGTTTAGGGCTTCAGGGCTTTAGGGTTTAGGGTTTCAGGGTTTTAGGGTTCTAGGGTTTAGGGTTTCAGGGTTTTAGGGTTTTAGGGTTTAGGGTTTCAGGGCTTTAGGGTTTAGGATTTCAGGGTTTCAGGGTTTTAGGGTTTAGGGTTTCAGGGTTTTAGGGTTTTAGGGTTTTGGGGCTTTAGGGTTTTGGGGTTATAGGGTTTAGGATTTCAGGGTTTTAGGGTTGAGGGTTCCTAAACCTGAGCCCTAAGCTCTCAAAAGTTTACGGCTTGGGGCGAGTCTGCGAGAGTGCGAGAGTATGACGATGTGGCGTCTTAGGTCAGACCCCTGCTTGCTCAGGTGCGACAGCGGAGGTTTGGTTTAGGGTTTGGGATTTGGGCTTAGGGTCAGGTTTTAGTGTACCGGACCGGTTTCCTCGCCAAGTGTTTAGGGTTTGTGCCTGCAGAAAGGAATACATCAGCATCGAAACCCAACAGCTTCCCTCGCTTTGCCAAAATTGTGCAACACAGAAGCCTGAATAGTGAGAAATGTTCTTTCACAGCCCTGAGTATCCTTAGAGCAGCAAGCCCTGCAACATCCCTAGCTCTTCTTGTTGTGGAGGCTTCTACGTTACTCTACACTACCGGCTCTGATTTCAGTGGAGGGCGAAGGCTCAGCAGATCTCAGCAGGCACTCTTCGAAGCACTGACACAACTGTGAGCTTCCTGCGGGTGCTCTTCGTCGGATGAATCTACGACCTGCTGGCGAAAAACATCTGGGGCGAAGCAACCAGATATGTACACACACATGTACGTATGTAAATAATTATTGCCATATGTACACATACACAGATATACACCTACACATACATATACATAAACATATGCACATACATGTACATGTACATATACATGCACATACTACGTACATAAAAGGCGAACATGTACATATACGTCTTCATCTACATGTACGGCACATACATACGTACATACATAGATACACGCATACATACATACAAACTGTTACCGCATTTGTCCGTACATACTGCATAGTATAGGTAAACACGTAAAACCTAGCTGTAAGGAAAACTAAGAGTGTCTCTCTCTCACTCTCCCTGTCTCTCTCTCTCTCTCTCTCTCCGTGCTTGTGTCTGCGTGTGTCTGCGTGCCTGTGTGTCTGAGTGTCTGTGTGTCTGTGTATGTGGCTGGGTGGGTGGCTGGCTGGACGGCTGGGTGGGTCGGTGGGTGCGTGTAAGTGGGTGTTTGCACGCTGCCTGTTATGTACATGTACATGCGCACCCGACCAAGCGGTGAAAACCGACGAGTCGCTACTACGAAGGACTATCACAAAAAATGTCGTGTAATAATGTGGTAAACGAACATGATGTAAGAGTAAACTGGAGATATATCGAGCAACGGTGCGAAAAAATGATCTAGTCGTGACAGTTACAGCAATCCCCAAACCCTGAAGCCTGCACTCCAAAACCTAAGCACTGAACTCATACCCTAAACCCCCAAGCCTGAACCCCGAAACCTAAGCCCTACACGTTGCTGGTGCTGCTGCTGGTGCTGGTGAACATGGTTACTAATGATTTCCATTCTCATCATCACCAAAGTCGCGATCACCACAGTCTCGTGGCCACCATCACAGGGCTGGGAGGATGAGGATGCCTGAGGTAGTCAAAACAGCGATGATGACCATGAAACTTGTGAAGTGAACATGTGGATGAAGACGACGACCGAGATACTGATGATGACGGCGATGACCACGGCACTGACTATGATGACAATGACGACAGTCATGCTGATGGTAGACGACCGTCTCATCGACCACCACCACCACCACCACCACCACCGCCACGATCATCATCATCGCCATCGACATCCACATCTCCATAACCTGACAAAAAAAACACACTTACCCCCGCCCTCTCCGCCTCAAACAGAACACCTTTGTCTCCAGCAAGACTTTACAACAAAAAGTGCGTGTGCGCATGTGTGTGTGTGTGCGTATGTGTCTATATGTGCATATGCATATGCATATATATATATATATACAGATGGATATATACATGTGGATGTACATGTGTATGTGTATGTATATATATATATATATGTATTTATGTATTTGTCTATGTATTTGTTTGTTTACACACGCGCACATAAATATGTATAAGGAAGGAACTCGGGCCTCTCCGCGATTATCCCAGACTTCCGATCGCCGGGAGGGTTTGTACCTGGTGCCACTGACTTCGGGGGGGGATTTTGGGGTGGCTTTGGGTTTAGGGGTTCAGCGGTGTTGGGGTCCAAGGCTCTTAGGATTTGCGGTCCAAGGCTCTTAGGATAGCAGTTTAGGGTTTTTTTCAGGTGTGGGCTTCTCCAGGTTTGGAGGCCGTGGGGGGGGAGGGGTGCGTGGGAAATTTCTGGGCTAGTTGACAAGGCTTAGGGCTTAGGGTTTAGGGGTTCGGGTTTAGGGTTTAGGGGTTTAGGGCATTGGTCCTTGCCGCGACCTTGCTCGTGCTTCACGGGCTTCTGGATTCCGGCGGTAGGTTGGTGCCCCCCGCCAGAGATCTCCAACGAAGATTGGCTCTCGAGGAACCGCAGCCAACTTGAAACCACAAGTGCGGGGGATAGGGACATCCCAAATAAACCCCCTTATCATGAAGCCCAATAAGGTAGGGATATCGATATCCGTAAAAAAAAGGCATCTCGGCCCGAGGCGACACCACGGGCTTCGGTGGTGGCTGGGCCGGTGTTGATGACCTTCGCCAAGCTTTGGAGAATTTAAGATGTAGGGTTCAGGGTTTAGGGCTTATGGTGTGGATGGGACAGATTGCAGAAACAGCTTGTGATGAGCACCGGGGCCGTGACGGCTTGTCTGGATCATACTGGAGGGTGGAGGTGTCGTCGCTGATGGTCACGTGCTTCCTGCTGAGAAGGCCCGTTCTGCGCAGGGGTTGGTCCTTGTAAACATGCCACAACCGGCGCGCTCACTTGCAGCAGCCGTGGCGCGATCAACACGCAAACTTCCTCCAAAAACAAACCCAGCGCACCTGCTGCTGCCACCACTCGCCTTCCTGGCACAGGAAGAATCGCTTCACCTCTCGCCTTTGAGGGTGCGTATAAGTATAGGCACACACTGATCTGTAGAAGAAGTGTAGTAGTGTAGTGGTCGTAGCAGCAGCAGCCGCCGCACCAGAGCAAGGGGAAGGGGAAGAAGACTGGGAGTTTCAGAAAGTACGGGCATGCCCTAAAGCCTAAATTGAAAACCCCTGAACTCTGAACTCTGTGCCCCTAAATCGCGAAACCCTAAACTCCAAGCCCTAAGCCCAAACTGCAAAGCCCTCATCCCCGAAGCCCTAAACCATAAACCCATGCACTGCCGTGACTGGGATGCCTAGACATGGGCCGCTCGGTGTCATCACCGGCTAGGCTCGATGCGCTGCCAACCTCCCAACTACGTGTGTTACTCGATGGGTTTGGGGTTCAGAATAGTATTCCATGGCGGTTCCAAAGGTTCACGGTTTTGGTTTTGGGGGAGTTTAGGGATGAGGCTTGAAAGTTTGCGGCTGAAGGTTCTGGGCTAACCGGTTGCTTGAGGCGTGGGTGGTTCGAGGCCTCCATATTGGGGTCCGCATGGGCCTAGCTCTGGGATACCACCATATCACCCAGACCCCCATGGCTCCCACTGATCACGTGCTGCGTCAGCGACGGGCTAGGGGACCCTAGTATAGTACCCTAAGTAGTAGGACCCTTATTATAAGGACCCCAAAATAAGGTACCCCAAATTTTCGGAAACTCCCTTATGGTTATGGTCGTTGCTGTACTTGAAGCGACGGCCCTCGTGACTGCCAGTGCGGTTGTGATGCTGACCGAGCTTTGCCGATTCAATGTGTTGTCCTCGTGGTCAGTGCTGTTAGTGCTGCTAATGCTGTTTTGATGACCTGCTGCCACTGCTACTACCCTGCTGATGCTGCTGCTGCAACTGCCGCTGCCGCCACGGCGACGACCTCATAGCATTCATGCTGTTACTGTTCCCGTAGCGTGTTTGCCAGCATTAGCATTGCCTCACCACGCCCAAAGTCGAAACTCGAACCATCTCTGAAACACAAGTCCCAAACCCTTAACCCCAACCTTAACCCGGAAGAACCTAACCTTTTAAGGACCTATATAAGTAAATCATAGTAAGGAACCCTACAAAGGCAGGTTCTTCAGGGTTAAGGAAAGCCCTGAACTCAAAATCCCGAACCTGAACACCAAAGTCTGAACGCAACCCCGAATCCCGGGCCCGAAACCCTCAGCCCCAAACCCCAAACAACACCCTCTGAGGTCCTGGAGCATCCTGCGAAGCCTAGGATACCCAGTAACCTAAGAATAACAAGGCCTCTCTTTTTGGTATTGTGTAGCTTTATAAGGAACCTAGGACTACAAAAAGGGAATAAGGGTACTACTGGGCATCCTAGAAGCCGTTGAAGAAACCTACAAAACCCACTGCTACTTGACTGACCCTGGACCCTGACGTCTAAACCCTAAACCTTGTAAGCCCTTTAAACCTAACCCGTCAAGCCCGCTAAACCCTTAAACCCTAAACCCTACCTTTAACCCCTAAACCCAGTACACCTAGACCCTTTAAACCCTAAACCCTACGTGTACAGCAGAGCTCACTTAAAGCTCCTTGGGCTCTTCCCGCCTGGCTCGGACCCTCAGCCTCGCAAGGAAGTAGCGGCCCGCGGCTCTCTACTATAGGGGCCTTAATAATTAGAATATGGCCTTGGGCCTCTTTATACTTGTAATCAGGAACCCCCCCAAAATAGTATAGGTAATTCTCTGGGCCTCTATAGTAGGCTTTCGGCTTGGGGGGGGTCGGTGTCTTGGTGCTTTTGCGTGTTGGTGTTTAACGCCCATTTTTTTGGAGGGGGGTGCTCCTTCTTCCACCTGGTTCGCTTTGGGGTTTAGGGTTTTAGGGTTTAGGGTTGTTTTGGTGTTTAAGGGCTTTGGGGTTTAAGGTTTCTTCCCTTTAGAACGGTTTAGGAGTTTAGGGGTCGGGCTTTCGGCTTTAAATGTACGGTATTGTATGGTATGGTATGGTGGGGTATCTTTCGTAGAGTACAGAACAGTATCGTTACTTGCGTCATTTGATTGCTACTTTCGTACTTATAGCTATTGACATGTTTACTCTCTAACCCTAAACCCTTAACCCTAACTGTAAACCCCAAACCCTACTTAGAGGGTCATGGGACTTAGCCACTATAGGGTTATAAATACGGTAGCTATATTTATAATTGCTTAAAACTCCAATTAAGGTACTTATAACCTTACGTACTAAGTCCCATACAATCCTAAGCCCTTAACCCTAAACCCCAAACCCCAAACCCTAAACCCTAAACCCCTAAACCCTAAACCCCTAAACCCTAAACCCCCAAACCCCCAAACCCCTAAACCCCTAAACCCTAAACCCCCAAACCCTAAACCCCTTAATCCCAAACACCCTAAAACCCTAAACCCTAAACCCCTAACCCCCAATTACCCCCAATTACCCTAGTTCTCCACACCTCCTAGGATACCCAGTAACCTAAGAATAAAAAGGCCTCTCTTTTTGGTATTGGGTAACTTTATAAGGAACCATGGACTACAAAAAGGGAATAAGGGTACTACTGGGCATCCTAGCCTCCATGCCAAGGTCCACCGGGCTCTGCGTGAGAGTCGGACGGCGAGCAGCCATGGCCAAAAGGCGGAGAGGGCCCGGGGCGCAGAAACCCCAGGGAGCTTTACGAAGAAGAAGGGAAGAACCCGAATCCCCAATATAAAGGGCTCCTTTAAGGGATCCTGTGCGGGTACCATAAGGGTTTAGTACAGGGGGCATTAATGACTACCCCTAAACCTTACACCCTATCAGCTCTCAACCTAGATTCTAGGAGTCATGATTCGGCTGATGGTGCTGATAGAATGGCAGGACTGTAGAATCACGTTGGTAGTCTGGTAACAGCAATAAATTGCGATTGACGGCATCCATGACCCGACCTGCATGTACCAAGCCCTCACTGGCTGAAACATGCCAAGCAATTGTAACTTAGAGTCACTCTGCTTCTGAGCTGAAACCTTGCCGCTGAAGTTGAGGGTGGTGCAGGGTGCAGCGCAAGCGCAACAACAAAACGGGGGCACTAAAGACGCGAAGCCCGCTGCGTCTTTGCTGCGCGTCTCCCGCATGGCGAGGAGCCAGGTGCTACTTCATCGGAGGGATTTCTTGGGGCGAGAAATGCTTTCGCCGACTTCAGTTGTGAGGCCCCAAGGAATCGCCCCCCTGCACTGCATTCCAAGAAAACGTATAGCTAGGGCTTGCGTCAACCCGGGCTTTGCCCAAGAGGCAAGTTGACAGTCTGCTTGAGCTGTAAGCTGATGCTAGTCATGCGAGTGCAAGATCTAGGGCCTAGTAGGGCCATACTTTTGTGTTCTTACCACTGAGTGTCTGAATGCGATTGCGACGTACTGTTCCGGGCAGTCTACAACATTCTGCGAATATGATCAGCTAATCGCAATTGTCACTTCTCCAAGCAAGCAGGCGTGGCAGGCGCAGTGAAACCGGGCATGTGAGTATCTGCACCCACGGCCCTTAATCACATGTGGGTCTCGGGTCCAGGGAAACCAGGCTTAACCGTCAACTCCAAGGGTAAAAGGAGGGACCCTTATTAAGGACCCCTAGGTATATACCCTTTAAAATAGCCATTATACAGCCCATTATATAGCCCATTAGAGGGTAGGGGTCCCCATTAAGGGTCCCTCCTTTTCCCCTTTGATCAACGCTAAACCCTGAATCCTCAACCCTATAGGAACTGGTTCGAGCTGGAGCTGGACAACCCAAGTGGGTGGTTGTCAAACTTATGGTCCCTTTTTGGGTCCGTGTTATAATACGGCACCTATGATTTAGGGTACCCAAAAAGGGACCCTAATTTTGACAACTACCCAAGTAGGCTTCTACCTTTCGCGGGGCGCCTACGCCTCGATGGGATGATGCTAATCATGCGAAATAGAAATATTTAAACTTAGAAAGTGACAACGATGATAACACTAATTACAGTAACAAACGTAGCAGAGGCCATCATCACAGTAACAGCAATAGGAAGAAGCGTAATCATAGTAATGCTAGTGATGATAGTAGAAGTAGCGCTGTTATAACAGCAGCAGTAAACACAAACAATCATGATAATAAGAACAACAATAAGAACAACGATAGCAATCATGATAACGATGGGCAACATCGCAAGTTGAGGCTCCACTCTCACTTACGACTGACGAATCTTCTGAAGCAATAGACAAGTCACCGCCAGAGCCGGCACGCCGATTACTTTATGCAGCTCTTCCAGCATTCAAGCAGTTTTGGTAGCCTCCTTACATTGAGCGTTACCTTCTTGCTGCTCTGTTACTTATCGCTGCCGCTGTCAAGGAAAGCTCTTCTTGACACCCTGTCTAGTGCTGCTGGGATGATTATCAGACTCGGTTGAGGCATCCCACTCATGTCGATGAGGGCCGTAGGAAGCAGGTGGCGAATCTTTCTCTGTTCCGGCACTTTGCCGATCTCGGATACAGGAAAACATGCAGGTTGAATGCTAGGACTTGGTCTAGGGAGTCTAGGGTGACCCTTAAGCGTTGGCCCCAAGCCAAAATGCCAGCACCCTCGAACCGGCACCTACAGGGATCCTCGTGAGGCCTTTGTGAACAGAAGCCTCTGGCCAAGTCTACTACACTGGACTTCCGATCCTCCACATCCTATCCCCTAAACCCTAAACCCTAAACCCTAATCCTAATCCGTACCGCCTGAGCCCTCCTGCACCCAGAATCGTAGAAAATCCACCCAATCCACATACGCAGACTCCCTGACCCTTTCAGTCGGACACCCTTGTATGCAACTATGTCGCGACATGCCCTTCAAGCGGCACCCTGTAGAATCCGCACAAGGCCCTTGTAGTACCCTTCTACTATACAGGCTACCTAAACGTTACTCGAGGGTCTTTTCCTGTGATCGAGACGCAGGCTCTCGGGCCCATCACTCAGAGACGGATGTGCCTGGCTCCACATATCTCGGGGGACGTTTGGTGGGATTTCTCGGGCTCCGGGCCCTAAACCCTAAACCCTCAACTCTTTTGTTTTTTTGTTTTTTCCTTTTGGGTTTTTGGGGTTCGGAGTTTCGGGTGGGCTTGAGGAGCAATAGCTTCAGCTTCCTGGGGGCGAGGGAAACACCTGGCATTTAGGCTTCCGGGTAGGTTTGGGGTTTGGGGTTTAGGGTTGAAGGAAAACCCTAAACCATAAACCATAAACCCTAAACCCTAAAGGGTTATAGGTCCTATAGGAGCTTCGGGTTGCTGCAGCTTTCCTCCCAGGGAAAAGGCAGCGCTCCCGGCCAGCCGGGTTGGGCTCTTAGTTGCTGAGTTCATAAGCCCCAAAAAGTGTACACTTTTAGTTTTATAGTGGGTAGTACTATCCCAAAAAGTGTAAAGTGTATCCACTCATCTACTCAGGGCTTTTGCAGATCGATGATGGGAAGTGTCTAGCAACTAGCTTGAGAGGCCTGCTAGCACGAAACGCCCCACGCTCACTTGGCAGGCTGATGAGTTTAGGGTTTGGGGATCCAGGTAAGACCACAATATACATTGGTTTAGGGTTTAGGGTTTAGGGTTTAGGGTTTCAGAACACCCATGAAAGGTCGGAGGGGACATCCAGTCTGGAACCCCCACCCTCCCACACGTCCCTGCAATGTCTGCGCTTGGCATAGGGGCAACCCTTTGCCTCTTTCTTCTTCCGGCGTAGGCGTGGGCATAGACTCTTCCATGCTCACATCCCAAAACTCCTGCGACAGAATCTGGTCTCTTGCTCCGCGGGCGGTTGTGCGAGTACGCGCTGTCGAAAGCTAGACAGCCAGGCCGTCGGTAAGGTCATACAAGCAAGCTTTCAGGCAAGACCATTCGAGGTTCCCGGCATGACATCTTCTCGTCGGCTTACGCTTGCGAATGCACCTAAGCTCAGCAGCTGCACGAATTCAAAGGAGACTTCAAGTGCAGTGAAACTCACAAGGAGCTGATAGCCCTGAACCCCTACACCCAAACCCCTAAACTCTAACCTCTGAGCCCTAACCCTCTGGTCCCGGGATTCCTCATCCTCCTCGGCATCCTGGAAAGGAGGCTTCGCAAGAATCTCTCTTGCGCCGCACGTGGAAGCTTGAGAGTTCGAGCTGTTTGAGGGTTTGAGGATCTCTAATATCGGGGCCCAATAATTGGAATAGTGTTTTGGGGCCCCCCATGATACTAGAGCTATGCTAAAAACCTAAACCCTAAACCCAAAATAGCATAGGTAATTGTGAAGGTCCCGATATTATCCTCAAACTTTTCGGCTCACGGCTCAAGATGCTGCTTCGTCTTTTTGAGGCATAGGCTGTAGCGCTGAGGCCTCTATGATATGATATGATATGATAGATATGATATGATATGATATGATATGATATGATATGATATGATATGATATGATATGATATGATATGATATGATATGATATGATATGATATGGTATGGTATGGTATGATATGATATGATATGATATGATATGATATGATATTATATATATATATATATGTTGTGAATATATGTGTATATATCATATATATATATATATATATATATATATATATATATGCTCGCCCCCCCCCCCCAAGATCTACGTCTGCAGGTTTCCGGAGCATGGATTTCCTGATTTCCGGCTTTCTGCAGTACGCAGGTTTCCAGATTCCAGATTTGCAGGCACTATGTTTCCAGAGATTCCAGATTCCAGATTTCCAGATTTGTTCACCCTAAGGTTTCCAGATTTCCAGAAATCTGGAATCTGGAATCTGGAAACTTAGAGCCTGCAAATCTGGAAATCTGGAATCTGGAAACTTAGCAGATTTGCATGCACTATGTTTCCAGAGATTCCAGATTCCAGATTTCCAGATTTGCTCACCTCAAGGTTTCCAAATTTCCAGAAATCTGGAATCTGGAATCTGGAAATTTAGAGCCTGCAAATCTGGGAATCTGGAAACTTAGCAGATTTGCATGCACTATGTTTCCAGAGATTCCAGATTCCAGATTTCCAGATTTGCTCACCTCAAGGTTTCCAAATTTCCAGAAATCTGGAATCTGGAAACCCTAAGGTTTCCAGAAATCTGGAATCTGGAAACTTACAGCCTGCAAATCTGGAAATCTGGAATCTGGAATCTTAGAGCCTGCAAATCTGGAAATCTTGAATCTGGAAACTTATCCTGCAAATCTGGAATCTGGAACTCTAGGACGTGTAGAAACATGAGCATCAGCCGTAGCCTCATGAACATCAGTCGGCTTCGGGGCTGGTCCTAAAACCAAAACCGCCTGGTCAGAAAGCGTCTTTGAGATTGATCATGGTCAAAAAGAAGTGAATTTGCTTAATGCACCACTCAACAACGAGGTCATGGGGTAGCGGCTCCAGTTATTGCACTGCCATGCAACACCGCTGATGCTCATGATGCGCGTGTCTTGTCCGCCCCCAAACCTGCTGATGCTGGTCCTAAAACCAAAACCGCCTGGTCCGTCTCGTTCTCCCACAGCCGAAGTCTTGAGCCAGTCAGTGTTTATGAGAGGGTCTAGTGAAGAGGGACATACGATATGTGATGGGTGCGCAGCTGTGCACAATCAAGTGTGACTCCAAGCCTATTGAAATCTTGCCGCACACGAAGCTATGGAAATCCACCCGGAGTGCGGTTCAACCGCACAAAACATTGTAATGCTCAATAAAAATCAACTTTTCCAACCATTGAAACGCACGAAACACTGGTATGCTCAAAAAATTCCAAACTCTTAAGGAATCTGCCCCCGGCCTGGCCATAGATGCCAGAATTTTAGAATTTTTGGATTTTTGAGCATTACAGTGTTTCGTGAGTTTCAGGGTTAGAAATTTTGGAATTTTATGAGAATTACAGTGTTTTCTGATGTCCAGGACAGGAGATATTGCATCACAAGATAATTGTGTGCTTTCAACCGCTGTCAAGGACTGGAAGTAATGATTTATGTGTCTTCTGGAACAACAACGGTTTTCGTTTTCATTACTCTTGTTTGGTAAGCATAAAAAAGGCCTAGTCGTTGCATAGCTTATTTCATGTATGTTTTTGGAGGTTGGTAGATCTATGGCACCAGCAGCACTGGCTCCAGTACCGGAGCTTTCTCGAAAATGGGTTTGGCCCTTCTTCGGCAAGCTGCACCGCCTACAGATCCAACACTGTAGCAGCGCAAGCCTATCTAGAACTTAATTCATTTCATATTGGAGACTGCAGGAAACTGTTTGCCTCTTGCTGTCATAGAACGTAGCGGAAAAAAGTAGCTCTATTCAATCTTCAAGCGAAACTCCCCAGATGTGATCAGCAAACAAAGAAAAGCTTGCTTATTGGTATCTTGTATTAAACGGGCAAGAGGCGTAAGACTTGTATCGGTTTCTACACCTCCCTCACATCCTGACAAAGCGATACCGGTCCTTCTGTCTGTGACAGTGGTTTAAACACTGTCATAGTTCGTATCACAACATGAAAAGGAGCTCTCTTCAGTCTTCGAAGAATACAGGTGACATCGTAGAATTTTCTTCTGGATTAGCAGGAATCTTCATGTCTCTTGCTTGATACGTATGAAGATGTCTCATAGGAAACCGAATAGGAAGTTAGAGAAACAGCCATGGACATAGCGATCGGTATCTTCTCCGGGGCATAGGACAGCATCAATACGATTTAACCGAATGAAAACTCATGGCCCAAATGAGTACCCGCAAAAATAGATAGCGATTGCTATGCACATGGCTGCTTTTAATATCGACTCACAACATAAAGAGGAGCTTTCTTCCATGAAGTGCCATCTTACTTTGTTTTACGAGGTTAAAGAGCCCCTGCCTTGTGATTGATACATATCAATGCAGCCAGTCGTAATTAGTCCTGCTTCATGTTTGGAAGGTTGCAACAAGCTCTCTTACTTCTTGCTGCAGACGAGCCTTCCTGTGCGCCCGCATATGCACATGAACTTTCCAACTCCAGGGGAGTTTTCCCATGTTTTATGAGGCTAAAGAACAACTATTGGAGTATTGCTTCAAAAACATACGCGCCCGTATATTCGACTTCCTTCATATATACCGGACAGGGCATGAAAGGAGCTCTTTGTGCTTCGTAACTCATAAATCAAATGCTAGAGCTTTTAGGCCGCATCAGAATCGGACGCTTCACGAGCAGCGGGAAAGAGATGGCCCACGCACACAGACGTCTTCGTAAGAGAAACAATAGTATTTTTATTAGAGGAATGTCGTCAAATAACACACCATAAAACGCAAAAAACACGAGGTTTTTTGGTACTACCTGCACAAAAATAGCACGCCCTCCAGCATTTCAGCTTCTCCAACATATAAACTACCATAAATCTGCTGCCGAGATTCGGCGCCAGATTTTTACACATATCAAACCCGCGACTTGTAGCAGCACGGTTTGCATGCACATGGAGTAAAGCACGATTGTATCGGAATTTACGGTGCTTTCGGCATATATGAGTAGTCGACCAATGTAGAGAAGCAACCTGTGGAATTGTGTGGAAGAGGCGGATGTAGATCTTGGGGGGGGGGGTGACCATATATATATATATATATTTATATACACAAAAGTTATGTCATATTGATATTATATATATATATATGCTAGCTTTATGGATGACTACAAGAATCGTAGTAGGACTCAATACAGCAAGCCATCTGGGCACTACACCCCTTATAGTAATCATCTAATCAGCATAGAAGGTATAGTAGCCCTTATGGGCTGACTGTAACCCTAAACCCCAAACCCTAGAACCTGCACAAGAAGCCCCTAAACGGCTCCTTTAAGCGTACCTTACAGGGCCCCTTTAAGGCCAGGGTCCCCTTAAATAAACCATACTACACTTAGAGGATCATGGGACTTAGTAACTAGGGTTATAATTAAGGTAACTATACTTATAATTCCTTATAACCCCAATTAAGGTGCTTATAACCATACTTACTAAGTCCCATGATCCTCCAAGCAGGGTTCTATAGCAGCGCTCTCTTGAGCACTGGAGGGTTCTAGAACAATGTTCCCCGTCAGGGGTACCATAGGGCTCTACAATACTCCCTAGACCCTAAAATCCTGAACTCAAAAACCTGAACTCTAAACCCTAAACTCTAAACCCTGAACTCTAAACCCTGAACTCTAAACCCTAAACCCTGAACTCAAAACCCTAAACTCAAAACCCTGCTCTAAACCCTATAAACTCAAAACCCTCAACCCTAAACCTCAGAAACCCTTAGGATCCCTTAAAAGTTCCCTTTCAGGGTGCCCCAAAAAAGGGGGGCAAAAGGCTCCTGGAAATCTGGCTCGGACTCTTCCTCGAATTCCAGAGTGGCCTGGCTTTGGAGCTTCGTGGTTTAGGGGGTTTGGGGGGTTTAGGGGGTATAGGGTTTGGAGGTTTCGGGGGTTTAGGGGCTTTAGGGGCTTTAGGGGTTTAGGGGTTTAGGGGTTTAGGGGTTTAGGGTTTAGGGTTTAGAGGCTAGGGGTTTACGGGTCTAGCGGTTTAGGGGCTTTGGCGTCTTTGGGGTTCAGGGTTTTGGGGACTTTCGGGGCTTACGGGTTTAGGGGCTTAGTTAGGGTTCCAGTCTTACGGTTTAAGGCTTAGGCAAGAGGGCTTAAGTCTGAGGGTTTAGGGCTTGTTTAGGGTGCAGGGTTTCTGAGCTCTTGCGGTGAAAGCCTTGCTCCCCCCCCCCACACCTTGCACGGTTTAGGGTTTAGGGTTTAGGGTTTAGGGTTTAGGGTTTAGGGGCATCTCCACTAGCCAATATCCAACCCCGCCTCTGCTGCACCCGAGTAGGGACTGTAAATGTCCTGCCCAGCTTTGCAAGCAAAGCCTAAACGACTGAGTGGCAACCACGACAGCAAGACCTTTAAGGGAACCTTATATTAGAGCCCTATACAATACCCCTGCAAGGGAACCTTATTCTAGAACCCTCAAGCACCCCTCAAGACAGGAAGGGTGTTGCGATCTCCGGATGCTCTGCTGCAGCCTTGCCTATATTGCGATTGTGGTGTCCCGGCACTGACGGACCCTGAACACAAGGCTCGATTCTTGAAGGCTTGCTGTGGGATTTAGGGTTTATGAACCCTAAACTCTAAGGTTTAGCGCTTGGGCATAGAAGCCATGGACTTCTCAAATACAGGATGCTTCAAAGAGCTCCTCCGTGGCGACTAGGCCCGCCATGTCCTGAAGACATAGACTTCGGCTTTAGGTTTGCGGATTTTGGATTTTGGGGTTTAGGATTTTGGTTTGGGGCTTGTGGTTTGGGCTTTGGGTGCTTAGGGTTGGGTTTAAGTGCCGATACTATACTATACTGTACTGTTCTATACTATACTGTACTATCATTTTAGTGGTATACTACCGTTCTTGTTCTGAGCCACTGTGAGCAACAGACCTTGGGGCTTGCGGTTCAAGGGACCGTGAACCCGACCCCCACTACCACACTTGTCAAGCCCACCTCCTCGTCTGAAGGGACATCCGTGAGATGCGCTTCGCTGTCGGACTCCTTCCGGCTTTCTGATCTGGAGGTTCCCGGATTGAGGGCAGCCGCGCATACTCTGGGAACCTCAATAAGCTGAGCAGGGCTTTGGGGGCTACTGTAGTACAACTATTCTCCTGGGCTCAATATTGGTAATCATCTTCTGCTCCCCTTTCCTTAGCAAGTTCGGCAAGATCATGGTCGTTGCCATGGCAAGTGCCACGTGCGCGCCACGAAAGCTTCCTCGTTATCACCATCATCATGCTCACCATTATGGCCGATAAGCGAAGTCGCTGCCATCCTCCACCATCGTAGTTGCTGCCATCGTCATCTTCTTTAGCATCATTCTGATGTTGCCATGCAAAAGATCGTAACGACGCAAACAACAGAAATCAGAAAACGCATCAGCCCTTAGGAAACCAACGGAGACAAGAAGGCAAACAGAAGGCCCAAAGCAGACTAAACCCTAAACTCCGAAACCCTAAACTTGGCTGGTGCAGTTGCAGTCCTGGTTCGAGGTTGATCGCCTGCGTTCTGAACCAAAACTCGCAGTGCAGGGGCCACGAAATCGACAGCTGCTGTTGAATACGGAACGAACACTCTTATATCTTGCAATGCTGAACCGATTCATCACAGCAAAGCCTTGACTCTACAGCCTATGCTCCTAAAATCCAAGCACTGAATCAAAACCCCTAAGTTGTCCCTAAACTCCTTGTATGAACCCTAAACTCCTAAACCCCAACTGCAAAACTCGCATGCACACGCGGCAGGCGAATTGCCTGAGGGGTGGTGGAGCGCCCTGAGGCTCCTCACACACGGTGGTTCATCGTCTAGGCTGCTTAGGGTTAGCGGGGAGGGCTTGGGGCTGGGGTTTCAGCACCGGTGAGGCATGAATGCAGGAGGATGTTCGTTCTAATTTTGCGCATGCGGTCCTCAAACCCTGGAATGCTTGCAATACAAAACGAATAATCAAGTGCTGCTCTTCTGCACATTGTAACGGGTCCGACCATGCAGACAAATGATGCCAACTCATACGAGACACGTACGAGATGATAGTATGGATACTTGATATGGGAGGTTGACTTTGGATTCACCAAAAGCCTGCGTTGACTTCCGCTCTCCCTGGAGAAGTCAATGCCGGCCTCGGGGCGGCGGCAGGCTCCTAGCGCTGCGGCCACCAGCTCCTGCCCAACGTGCCCATGCCAACCCTGTGAGTTTCAATTCAAGTCCGAGGGTATGTAAGCATGTATGTAAGCATGCATGTATGTATGTATGTATGTATGTATGTATGTATGTAAACATGTCTACATGTATACGTGTATACAGATATTACATACAAATATGAGTATATACAACACACACATATATATATATATATACATACGTACATACACATTAATACATGCATACAGATCTTTATCTATTCATACACACATAGATCCATGCCTGCATAGTGTATACATGTAAAAACGTGTGTATTTGGGCATGTATGCATGTAGGTTCGTGGATTCGTGTATGTTTGTATGCATGTATGTATGTGTATATACGTCTTTATGTATCTCTATTTATATGCATATACAATGCGTATGAATTCACTTATGAAACTCAAAAAACATCATAGCGCTGCAAGTGACATGCGGTGACGACGTCGATGACGACGATGACGGCGGTTATCATGGTGAATAGCTTTAACTCTTGTGCTACCTGATTAGCCCATCGCAGAAGTCTGTCACAAGCCGTTTTCACGGAGGGCCGGCGATCGGGTTAAGGTCCTCAGCCGTCCGCTGTAGATCCTGGCAGCTGCAAGTTCGGTGTTGGTGCACCGGTGTGTCTTGACCGGGATGGGCTGTGATTTCGAGGAGTACTGCTGTTGAAGCACAACCCACTCATGCTCCATACCCAAAGGTGTCGAGGTGAAGCCTTTCAACATGTTAGCACAAAACTCCGGAACAAACCTCATGCTGTAGGTACGGCCCTCTATAATAGGGCTACTATTAAGGTCCTACTATTTATGAATAGTATTCAACTACTACTGAGTGGGGGCCGCACGCAACTCATGCTAGACAACTGTTTCCACCCTACCCAGGGCGCACCCTGGCAGCCAGCGCCGCGACCTCAGAGCTGACAACGGAGTGCAATGAAGGTACAATAGTGAAGGCCTTATGATTTAGAATAGGTTCATAATACTATTACTGTAACTATAGTGGTAATCAGGAACCCCCAAAATAGTAGGTACTTATTCAAAAGCCTACTTAGGCCCTTCTACTACCTTTCCGCCGTGCTCAAACTAAGCCTCGAGCCGCCGGAGCCGTGGTGGCCGGGCCCTCCGTGACGGCTTCGACCTCTGAGCCCTCTGACGCCTCGGAGCATCGAAGACAACAACTAAAAAATACAGGGGCCTTAATAATTATGACTAGGGTTTTGGGGCTTCTTTAAGGGTTCTTGAAAGGGTTCTATAAGGGATCTACAGTATAGTACAGGGGGCTTAATAATTATGGATAGGGCTTTGCGGTATACTATACTATAAGTGTTATAACAAGAAATAATAATGACCTATACTATTTGGGGGGGGGGGTCTTGTTTATGATTATGGCATAATATACCGCTAATACTGGAGATCATCGTGTCTTTGCCCCTGAACAGTTTCAATCATGAGGAAGAGATCAAACATGTCGTAAAATGATACAAAACACCAAACCCCTAAACCCCTAAAACCCCTAAACCCCTAAACCCCTAAACCCTAAACCCCCAAAACCCCTAAACTCCTAAACCCCTAAACCCTCCCCAGAATCTGCCTCCATCGGAGCCTCCTCCGCCACCTCCGGCGCTTCCGCCGGAGCTTCGCCCTCCGACACCCGTGCCTCGGAGACCTGTCGTGGGTTTAGGGTTTGGGTCTTTAGGGTTTAGGGGTTTAGGGTTTAGGGGTTTAGGGTTTAGGGGTTTAGGGTTTAGGAGTTTAGGGTTTAGGGGTTTAGAGTTTAGGGGCTTGGAGGGTTAGGGTTTGGGATTTAGGGGTAGTTTGGGGTGTGCCAAGCCTGACGCGCGGCTGCTTGTTGCCCACCCGACCCTCCCGAGGTTAGTTGTGCATGAAAATTATGTCTTTCTTCTTGATTCCCTCTATCATACACGGATACAAAAAACAATCAAAAACAATACGATCCAGATGCCGAGATTCGGATCGGCTTTACATGAACTTTACATCGCACGGAAGTTAAGTTGTAGCCGAAGGATGGAATTTAACTCGCGCGCAAAGGCTTGATACAAATAGCGAATTTTTAGGAAGTTGTGTTTTGAGAAATATCTGGAACCACCGTGACAGCAGCCATCCGATCAGTTGCCGCGGAAAATCCTTGGGAATTCTTTTGTACGATGTCGTAGATTTCGCGCACCACCTCTACGCAGGTGTACGGCTTACAGTAGAAGCCCAAAAGTTGGAAACCCCAGAGCCTTCATCCTTAAGAGTAATGTATAGGGAATCCCAGCACTATTTGGCCTTAATCCAGTTTCCAACTTTTTGGGCTTTACTGTAAATGTCGAAATATCAAATTTTGGCCTGGGTGATCCTGCTGCCGGCAGTGGTCTTGAAGGGTTTGGGTTTGGGGCTCCTTTACAGGGGTCCTAGGGTCTGTGGATTTAGAGCTTCAAACTTCGAAATATCAAGGTTTTAGTTTTGGGCTCCCCGCTTCCGGCCGTGGTCTCTGGGGCAGCCGGTGCCGGCAATGGCTTCGAGGATTTTCAGGAAGACTAGACCCAAGAGTAACCTAGGAATAAAAAGGATGCCCTTTTTGGGATAAAGGGAGAGATAAGGGAACCTGAACCCTAACAAAGGGAATAAGGGCCTACTCTGGGTCCTAGAAGAGGTATCAAGCTTTCCGCCTGGGGCTCCCCTTGCCGGAAGTGGTCTGGAGGATTCGAGCGTCGAAATGGGAGTTTCAGAAAATTGGGGGGGTACCTTATTTTAGGGTCCTTATAATAAGGATCCTACTATTTAGGGTACTACAATAGGGTCCCCTATTTTCGGAAAGTCCCAAATAGCGAGCTCTCGGACTGAGCCACGTCTCGAAGCTTTAAACGTCGTGGGGTTTCCGGCTGTTCGTTGCTGCTTGGCATTTAGGATTCTGGATTCAGCATCTTGGATTTTGGATGTTGGGTTTTGGTGTTTGGATTTTGGGTTTTGGAATTTGGATTGTGGATTTTTGGTTCTGGGTTTTAGATTTTGAGTTTTTGGTTTTTGGATTCGGGTTTTTGGGTCGCAAAGGGTTTTGGGTTGAATTTTTGCCTGCGGCTCCCGCTTCCGGCCACTGCGAGTTGAAATGGAAATGGAACCCGTAAAGGCCTAAAACTTGTCGATTTTGTAATACCTGCTCCTTTGCTGAAGGGCATTTTGCAAGGCCTTTGGTTTTGCTAGATTCACGGGTGCTAGGGACCGCTTACCATTTAGGATTTTGGATTTAGGATTTTGGGTTCAGGATTTGGGGTTAAGGATCTTGCGTTTAGGATTTAGAATTAGGGGTTTAGGGATTAGGGTGTCGTGGGTTGAGGGGAGCTCTTTACGAAGATTCCGAGCAAAACTAAATTGAGATCCCTTTACCGGTCCCACAAATGATGCGGCACACTCATACAAAGGACCTTAGGCGTAGAAGGAGGAGTAGTCGTAGTAGGAGTAGCAGCAGCAGCAGCTGCAGCACTGGTAGTGGAAGTTGCAGCAAATGTTGTTCTTGTGGTACTGGAACTAGCGCTGGTACTAGTGCCTAACTTTATGTAAAGATTTCAGAGGTTGCACTGGTCCTTTTCTAGGCGCTCTAACGGTCTCAACGTTTCGAGGAGTTGTCCTCGGTTGTGCCAGGATTTCCCATGCCTATCAATTTTTCCTATGTTGCCCGATGCATATCCCATATAAGAACAACCAATGTGTCTCCAATGTTTCCCATGTTGCCCATTTACATATAAAAACTAACAATCGGGAAACCGTTCAATTTTACCTGCATGACTTCTGGTCGTCTTTTCGGGATGTGTTGACCGTCGCCTAGATCCCACTAGCGGCGAGCATTCGTAGAATTTTGTACGGTTTCCGAAGTTTCTCCGAGTTTTGTCGACCTAGTGAAAAGCTTAGTATGCATGCCTGCAGCCGAATATACATATATATATATATGTGTAAATGATTATGTACGTATGTATGTATGCATGCATGCACCCATGTATGTATCTTACGTACATACATACGTACATACATACATACATGCATACATACATACATACATGCATGCGTACATAAGTGCATGCACACATACATGCATGCACACGTACGCTTGCGTATATGATCCTGCTTCCAACCATGCTTGTCCTTGCTGTGGGTATGTGCTGTGGGTATGTGGCCATTGCATCACTAGACCCCTTAATCCCAGAGCTTAAAGTAGGAACTTAGCTGGGTCATGGCTGGCGGCCTCAGGGGTGTCGTGTGCATCTGCATCCTCGTTGTCCTGCAGACAAGCATGTGTTTTGGGCTTACGTTGTAGGGTCTCGGGGAAGCTGAATTGGGAATTGGCTTTGGATACAACGTCACTGGCAAAACCCTTCAATGCCAGGGGCTCTGCTCTCATCACTCATCCACTCCTCAGTAACCTCTTCCACGGTGGCCGACGCACGATGGTGGGCCTTCCGCACGGTTTAGGTTTTAGGGCTTGGGCTTTAGCAATCTCTGACACCATGTGGAAACCAGCGCAACCTTATGAACGCTGAGCCGCAGAGCACCGAATTAAGGGATGTGCGTAGCCGCGATAAAGTTCATGCACTCATCGAAGCCCGGCTATTACTTGAACAATGAGACCACGAGTTCATCTTGAATCTGTACCCTCATCCGAAAACCCTAAACCCTAAACCTTCAACCCTAAACCCTAAGCCTGCAAGCCTAAACCCTAAACCGCAATCCAATATCACACCCTCTGAAACCCTAAACCCTTAACCGCCACCTCTGCGGCTTCGGCGGCGCCTGTGAGGGACGAGGCAGGGCGGCTCTTAGATAGGGTTTGGGGTTTAGGGTTTATTAGGGTTGAGGGTTTCTATAGCTAGTTCCCACCAATCCTTGCCAGAAAAACCCAGGAGTATTGTTGGGGCCTTACAACTGAGAAAAGGTTTCGTCTGCAAGGGATTTAGGCTTTAGGGCTAGCTTTACCATAATAGTATGTCATAGTACGACTATATTCAGGAACCCTAGGAGACAGTTCTGGCATTGCTTCATGCCCGTATCTCGCCCTTGATGTGCTCTGAGGGTCGATCCGATACATAATCGTCCCCATATCATGTTGAGTTTAGGGGCCTAGGGTTTAAGGATACCGGGTTAGGGAATACTGATGTGCTGGCGATAAAGTGGGATGGGTGTTAACGATTCAGACAGAAGGCTCAGGAAACTGAGGTTGCTTAAACCTGGGAAAAGCATAAGTATCGCTTTGTCAGCATGTTGATGAAACAGAGGATGGTGAGGTTGACGGGGCTGATCATGATGAGGATTACTATGTTGATGAGTATACGGTGACGATAGCGATGCTCATGGTCATGTCCGCTGCTCCTGCCGCAAGGTCGCGAAAAGGAAGCACAACCGGAAGAACCATCCGAATCACATGACAGTGCAACAACCAACGATAAGACTGTACGAGCAGCAGAAACCAGTGTAAATAGCTGCCCAAAAATGTGATTGCAGTAAAGGAACAATGACAAAGCTTCATGAAGAAGGTGATGATGATCCCACCCTTCTCAACTGGGAGTTTCCGAAAATAGGGGGCCCTAATGTAATACCCTAGTAGTAGGGTCCTTATCATAAGGACCCCGAAACCAGGTACCCCTAATTTTCGGAAACTCTCAAATCTTTCGAAGTGCAAACTCCTCAACCACACCCTGGCACCTTGCAGCGCGGCCAGCAGCTTTTGCCGACCCTGCGTGCCAAGGATTTAGGGTTCAGGGGTTTTGGGTTTAGAAGCTTAGGGGTTTAGGGTTTGTATAAATATAAATAAGTATAAATATATATAAATATATATATATATATATATTTCTTATTTATCTATTTATACTTTAATTTAGGGATTGATTGGGGTTTAGTAAAGCGTTGAGGGTTTCGGGATTGGGGTTTAGGGGCAGCTTCCACAAATTTCGACTCCTTCCAAAAGCAGCAGAGCAACTAAGACCGTTGACAACAACATCGAGGGCAAGATGAATGCACGACCGTTCTGTGCCGGCCCCTCTGAACCCTAAAGCCCAAACCCAAACCCGTAAACTCCAAAACTCCGAATCCCAAACCCAACACTATAACACCCCCAAACCCTGAACTCCCTAAACCCTAAGCATCAATCAAGAGTTCTCAACCCTAAACCCTAAACCCACCATTCCCAGTATTAATACTGCTACTATTACTCTTGTGAGTATCATGACTACTACTATTGGTATTATCATGTGTATTACTAATAACCCCAATAACCGTAGTAACCCTTATAACCCTTACAACCCTTACAGCCCTTATAACCCTTATAACCCTTCTAAACCCTAAACCCTAAACCCTAAACCCTAAACCCTAAAACCCTTATAACCCTTATAACCCGTGTTCCCTGCCTCGATTCGCTGGCTCTCGTTGCCAGCAGTTGCTGCTCTTAGGGCTCCTCCGGTAGCAGCTTTTTAGGGTTTAGGGGTTTAGGGTTTAGGGTTTAGGGGTTTTGGGGTTTAGGGCTTAAGGCTTAGGGTTTAGGGCTTAGGGTTTAGGGATTGCCATAAGGTTTCTACGATTCTACCGACGTTGTAAGTGTTTTGTTTAAGCCGTTTTCCGTCGGCATGATCCAGTTTCGGGTTTAGGGCTTAGGGTATAGGGTTTAGGGTGCAAGGTTTCTGCAAGACCTCGACACGAACAGTAAACGGCTACTCTAACATTACTGCCAGGTTACTCCAGAATATCGTTACTATACCTGCCATTGGACTACAACGTTACTAGAAGGTGCGTATAAGACGACCATGCAGGGAATCAATGAGACGACCACAAGGTTGCTATAAGGTTAAGATGACTTTACTATAGGTTCCCACAAGATCACGGTTTCCACAAGATCACGACAAGGTTGGTATTTACTTCCTATCCCTTCACTATTCCCTAAACCCTACAGCAGTACAGGAAGGCCTTTTTGTGTGACCCCCACAGCAATCACAAGGAAACTGCTTTAACAAATTAAGAGTCTACGTGCATCAGAACCTTTGGAAAAAGCTGTGGGTTTGGGGCTTCGAACTCAGGATTTCACGACTATAATTCACGGGTTAGGGCATGTTATGAGTGTTTGCGTCTAGAAGATGATATGGGTGTCGAGTAGGGGTTTGGAATGCTTCCGGGATCTCACTGGTGCCATAAGTTGTCATAATGCTTGAAAATGTGTGGTGCAGGGGGCTAGACTTTGCTGAACTGTGCGGCTTGTTCTTCAGACGAGACAGTGGTCCGATGTCCTAAAATGCTTTGCAAAGGAGTTTTAGCTAACGGTTAGAAGTACTTCTCAGGCTTGCGTGACTAACAGCAGCCGTCGAAAACTGCAACCTGAACGGTCCTGCGCCTCCGCAAAGCCGCGGAACTCTCTCATTATAAGGCATAAGCTTGCCAGTACAGTACTACAAGGATGTCAGAATGCTATTGTAAGGTTGCTATAGGGTACGTGGCTCCGGTCAGGCCCGTGCCTGCTTGCTGCATGAGCTCCAGGCGGGCGCGGAGGACTCAGCCAAGAAGTCTTCATGTAATCAGCTCTATCATTATACATGATACTAGATTCTAACACGTTGTTGCAGTATGTTAAATTACTACTTGGAGGATCACGGGACTTAGTAAGTATGGTTATAAGTACCTTAATTATAACCTTAGTTTTACTACGTCCCATGATCCGATTAACCATTTATGTACAGCAAGACCCCGGAAAGGCGCCGGAAAGGATTGTCGACGGATGCCCGAGCAACCGTCGACTACGCCTGCACTGCCCGGACGGGTCTAAGACCTGGGCTGTCCCTTCGGCGATCGAGGGGCACTCCCAGCATCCAGGCCGAAAAGCGCCTAAGCAAGAAAGCGGTGAGGGTTTAGGGTTTAGGGTGAACACAGAAGTGCAAAAAATCGGTAAAACCCTTAAACCTAAAACCCTAAACCGGTAACAGTACTGTAACTATGGATGCACCCTTTGGTTTCGACTTTCGGAGACTCAGAGTGGTCCAGAGCTTCATACAAAGGCAACATATATAGTTACGACGACATTGCCATAAGGTTACCTTGAACTATAAGGTTGCCACAGGGACATTTATCAAGTTAATTAACAAACGTTACAAGGTTACTACAACTAAGCTACCATGAGGTAGCCGTAAGGTGGACAGGGTGAGTCACTGTAACGACACGGTTCCTATAACGGCACAAATTTTACTTGGAGGATCATGGGACTTAGTAAGTAAAGTTATAGGTACTTTAACTGGAGTTATAAGTAATTATAGTTATAGTTGCCTGATTTATAGCCGTAAGTACTAGCTCAAAGTAAGGCTACGTCTAACGAAAGTCCAACTTGACAACGAAAGTCCAACCCGACTGTCCAAGTCGTTTGATGGGAACCGAAAGTTTCCTCCGCCGACGACCGGCTTGGAGGAACCTTACAGTAACCTCGCAGTAACTTTACAGTAGCCCCAAACTAACCTTGCAGTTGCGGTGTTGAAGTAAGATGAAACCAACTTACTATCCACTTTCTAGTAGCCTTGGAGAACTTACAGCAATCACATACCAACCTTACAATTAGAGGAAGCAAGCATATCCATCTCTTGTCGTTACTAAGCAGTCCCTATGTCAGAGAAAATAAAGCCGCAACTATCCGAACGCCCAATGTTATTGTTATGGGAGTTTCCGAAAATAGGGGACCCTGATAAGTACCCCAAATACTAGGATCCTTACTATCAGGACCCCAAAATAGGGTATCCCTACTTTTCTGCAAATGCCCTATTGAGCATCGTCATCTTCAGACCCAGGATCACCAGCATCATCATTGGCGCCTTCATCCCAATCGAAAAATTCGGCGCTGTGGTCGCCACTGTAGCCAACGTAGTGGTCAGCATCAGCAACACAACGTTATACATTATGGCAGTGGTTCTCGCCGATGTCGTCGTCCTCGCCACCGTCGTGGTCACCACATCGACTTTTACCAGACATCGAACCAGCCGCATGGTTTAGACTGACATTGAGTTCTTTCGGAACCGGCAGCAAGCTGGGAGCCCGGGCGTAAACCGGCGACGGCAGCACCAAATCAATCGCAGCGTTCGAGCAAACCTCGGGCAGCAAGATCCATCATGGGTAAAGTAATCTTACACTTTACAGTAGAAGCCAGAAAGTTGGAATATGATTATCCTAAACCCTTTATGGTAAATTATAAGGTATCCTTCCCTGAAACCATATTCCAACTTTCTGGAGTTCCCTGTATAGTTGTGCAAAGCTTTACAGGAAAAGCCCTTATAGTTAATAACAACCTTCGGGCTATGGTAACCTGGTAACCTTCTAGTCCTGGTAACCTTATAGCTATGGTAAACTTGTCGTCATGGTAACCTTATCGTGATGGCAATTATCGTTGTGGTGTCCTTTGTTATCGCACCCTTTCAGTTAGTCACCCTGTAGATGCAGCCACCTTTTTTCAACGTCGACCAACCTCCTTCGCCCAACCCGGACGATCTTAACCCTAAACCCAGAGCCTCTGAGCCCTAAGCCATAAATCCCGGACAAACCCTAACCTAACCTGAAGATCATGGTATCATGGTGACTCGAAACCTCATAGTCACAGTAACCTTACAGCCAAGGCAACTTTTTGGTTGCGGAAACCTTTAAGTTATGGGAACCTTGTAGATATGATAGTCTTATAGTTACAGCTACAGTAACCTTAGAGCTATGGAAAACCTACCGCTGTGGTAACCTTGTAGTTATAGCACTTTGATAGCTAGAGTAACCTTAGAGTTGTGGTAACCTGATAGCCTTGGAGATTGCCAAAGGTAAGGTTTGGAGGCCTCAAAAAGAGGGATGAAGGCAGGTATGATTAAGAATCTCCTGGATAAGGACTCTCATTTTGGGATTATCCCTCCTCATTTAGGCGCCTTAATAGTTAGAATAGGGTTTGGGCCAATATACTATAATTATAACAAGGAGCCCCTAGCCATAATATTGACAATTATTCAGGCCCCTCTTCATCCCAGCCTTGGAGCCCTGGGACTTAGTAACCATAAGGGGTTCCTTAAGGGCCCCTTTAAAGGGATCTATAGGGATTCTATAAGGGTATAGGGTTTAGGGTTTAGGGGGACTTAGTAACTACTTATTTTGGAGACTTATAAAGGGGTTTAGGGTTTAGGGTTTAGGGTTTACGGGTTTTAGGGTTTAAGGGTTTCAGGGTTTAGGGTTTAGGGTTTAGGGTAATATAAGTACCATAATGCCAATTAGGATCCCTTTTCGGGTACTTATAACTCTACTTATTACCTACTTACTACGTCCCCCGACCCTCCCAGCAAGGTCCCGGACAATCCGGTGGAGTTCGGATTCAGCGCCCAGACGAGGGATCGGAAGCAAAGGTCAGAATGATCCTGGCAACATAGGGTTTAGGGTTTAGGAGTTTAGGGGTTCAGGGGTTTAGGGGTTTAGGGGTTTAGGGGTTAGGGTTTCCGAAAATTGGGGTACCCTATTTTGGGGTCCCTTACAATAAGGATCCTACTATTTAAGGAAAATTTAAGGTATTATGTTAGGGCCCCCCATTTTCGGAAACTCCCACATCGGGAAATCTAGGGTTTAGGGGTCTAGGGGTTTGGGGCTGTGCTAAGCGGTTGAGGGTTTTGGGTAAGAAGGGTTTTAGTGGGTTTGGGGTGTAGGGTTCAGGGAAATCTTTCGCACACCTGAAGCCGAATACTGCTCGCTCTTTGCACCAAGATCCTTCGGGCTTCTGTTGAAGGCTGAGGGCACGGAGCGGCAACAAGGTGGCCCAGTTTACCACGCTAGAGTTTGCATCTCCACTTTCTGAGGTTGCTCAAACTCTATGGTTACTACAGCTACTCTGTATCTAGGTTACGGAAATTCTGAGGCTACTATGAGTGTTACAAAGCAATGCCGGTGAGGCCAGGTGCTCGAGGAAGACGGTGCGAAGCTTCTCGTTCTCCTGAGCAGGACACAGCAGACCTCTCGTAATTTCTCTGACTTAGGGTTGTTTCACGGATTGCTACAAGTGTCATTGCTACACAAGTTACTCAAAGGGCTTTCCCGTTTCAGTGAGGGAAGAGGGTGCGTGCATGTACAGCCGGTTGTCGTAGTGGTATTGCAGAAGAGGAAGGAATAGGAGCAGTGGCACAATAGCACGTTGCGTTCGAGAAGTAGTAGCCGTGGTCGTGGCATCGTCGTCTTCGTGCTTCTTGCTAGCACTATCGGAATGGTAGCAGCGGGTGGCGTCAATTTGCCGCTGCCTTTCCTGTTTCATCGAATTTTCTGCTTGCCTTGACCATGACGCTGGCGACGGTCACGCCACAGCGACCACGTCGAACACAGCGACCAATACCAGGCCACGACAAGGACACAAGGAAGCTAACTGTATCATAACAAAGCTTCATCTGTTTTTGACATTCCTCCCCCTCCCAATCTGCTCGAAGGTAAAAGGCCGGCAGCAAGATTGAAGGAAAGCCGAAGAAACAGCGAAGCAGACACTGGAAAAGATCTATATAATACCTAAGACCGAAGTGCCTCCGCCCCCACTAAAAGTATTACCGTACCACCTACTATACACCCCAACCACGAGAGAATAAAGGGGCCCTAGTAATTAGGGTTTTGGGGCCCATGAACTATACATATAATCAGGACCCCCCGAAATAGTACTAAACTATCTAGGCCCCTACATTACATGCACTCTTCTGAATGGAGTCTCCGATCGACATCCTCCCTGTTAGCTGGCCTTTGCCAAGGTCGCCAGCTTCGCCTGTGCCGACACACAAGGATGCCATTCGGGGCTCAAGGTCTTAAGATTTAGGATTTAGGATTTACGGGTTTATGGTTTAGGGTTTAGGACTTCGGGGTTTATGGCTTAGGGTTTAGGATTTAGGGGTTTATGGTTTCGGGTTTAGGATTTAGGGGTTTATGGTTTAGGGGGCCAAGGTTTACGGTTTAGGTGCCCTCCTCGCCGAGCGAACTTTGCAGCAAAGGCTGCGACTTGAACTTGTCATCTCTAGGCTTATCTCTGCAGCCACCGTCCTTCCAAAACCAACAAAAAGAAACGAAACAATGATGATAATTGTTTGTGTAGTGTGTACATATATATATATATACATATACACACATAATCATGTAACCATATTTATGTGTATTCATTCATTAATGCGTATGTAAGTGTGTGCATACATATACACACACATGTTTCTATAAATATATATATATATATATGCATATATGTATGTATATGGACCCACAAACCTATTCAGAGAAACACTGCCATCACCTAAACACCTGAATCTGAAACATCCTGAACATCCATCGGCCGGCAGCCTGCATCTCACACACCGTGGCATAGACCTCTCGCTGGACGACCTGGAGCACCCCAGGAGAGACATCTTAAAACCCGAAAAGACCCTCGACCGGAAACCCGAAACTTAGGTACGGCCCCCATACAGTAAGAGTCTATAATAGGGCTACTATTAAGGTCCTACTATATCTATATTATGAATATTATTCAGCTATTACTGAGTGGGGGCCGTACCCAACCCGAAACCCTAAAAACCCCAAGCCCTACATCCACAAAAATAGCAGCTTAAGCTTTCATGATGGAGCATGTAGCAAATACTACAATAGAAGCCAGAAATTTGGGACATCATTACCCTCACTCCCTTGAGGCAAAGTATAGGAAATCCCAGCAGAAAATCGTCCTCAGTCCCTGTTCCAACTTTGGGTCCGAAGTACCGACATTCCAACTAAAGTCTGACGACCTTTTGCGGCGGGGCCTTCAAACCCAGTACATATATGAGAGTTTCCGAAAATTAGGGGTACCCTATTTTGGGGTCCTTGTAATGAGGATCCTACTATTTAGAGTCCTATATCAGGATCCCCTATTTTCGGAAACTCCCATATGGGTCTTAATAAGTAGACTAGGGTTTGCGGGTCTATTATACTATAACCAAATTGAGGAACACCCCCACAATAGTATTGGTAATTACTGAGGCCCTTTCTTACATACGGATACACTGAACGGCCTGGACACCCGTTGAGCTACAAAGAACCCTCCGTATCTCGCACCAGTGCGTGTAGTGCGCGGCACAAGTCGCCATCACTGGACAGCAAAATGTCCTGAACCCTAAACCCTCTGAACCCTGTGGCTCCCAAACCGTCTGAACCCGCTGGTCCCTAAACCCTAAACCCCATGAGCTAAGTGCAGAAAATCACACATTCGCCTGGTGCACTCGACCTTGCACACGCTCCTCCACCAGCACCCGCACCTGTCGCATACCAGGCTCCCAAACGCTAAACCCAAAACCCAAAACCCTTACCAAAACCCTTTGCAAAACTCGCATAAAACTCTTGTAAAACCTTGTTTAAATCGCAGAAAGTTCTTCTTTTTAAATCTTCACCCCTGTACACGGACTTCTATGCCCTCATAAGCCCCTCAAACACCCTCAAACAAAACCTATAAAACCCTATAAACCCCCTGCGAACTACGAAACACCCCAAAAAGTCCGACGCAGTCATGGCTTTGGGGTTCAGACCTTCAGCTTAAGTGGCTCTGAGGGTGAGGTTTACTACACTGAACTTAGAACCCTAGCAAAAATTACAATTTTTGGCTGTTTCTTAGGGATTATGATAACCAAAAATTAAGTACTTCTTGTAAGTACCCCTAAGTTTAGAGTTGGTGGCTTCGGCTTCAGGCTTCTTGAATCCTCTCTGTTCCTTCGGCTAGCGTGGAGACGGTCATGCCGGCTGAGGGCGGGGGATACCGACTGTGACCGAGACAATGGCGGCATTACCACCTAATGTTAACCCCAACTACGGTCCGTGGTATCCCGGCGAAGCAGCCCTGACAAGTCGTAAATCGCACCCACACCATACCAGGATTCAGGGTTTGGCGTCTAGAGTCATGCATAAGCCCTTGACAGGAAACTCCTTACTTCTAAGTGCCCCTGATCCCCAAAAGCAGCCTATGAAATTTCTAGAAACCCCGTTTAAATCCATCAGAAGCCCTAATTCTTATAAACCCTACACCTTCAATCCTGAACCTGAATTAACCCTAAACCGTGAATCCCGGAACTCTCAGCCCAAAACCATAAACCCCGAAAACGAAACAGCACAAACAGCCTTCTCCATCTCTGCTGCAAGGATTGCATCCAGCTGCTGCTGCACTCGCTCCTGGCAGAAAGGTTTACGGCTCTGGTGGCAGGTCAGGATTTTGGGTTGACGGCTTTTGTTGGCGTTTGGACGTTAGAATTGGGTTCAGGGTTCAGGGCTTATGGTTTACGAGCTAGGGTTCAAGGTTTAAGGCAATATTCCACGAAATTGCTTCCGCAGATAGCAGGGTTACCCCCGGAAGAGTGGTCGTGTTCATGCGGCTGTTACCAACGGCTCTCGATGCTGCCCCTTGTGGTTCACAGTCCTTAAATTCCCGAATAGTAGTCCCCAAAACCCGTTCTCCCATCTAGTATATTATAGTAGATTGTATTGGAGTAGGCTATATTTTACCAAAGTAGCGCGCCGATGGTTGGCTACGTCCTCCTCGCGGGCGGCGGGCGGGCAACTTCTGGGCTGCATTATTTCTGTTTGCGTGTGTAGTCTACGGTCTTTGTCGCACACCTCGAGGTCTTCGTGGTATACCTTGTCCACGACAACGCTCCGCTTTAAGTGTGTCAACATGCCACAGTCAAATGCACCCAGCAGGCTAATCCACTCCCGCCCGCGGCCGGAGCCCTCCGTACATACGGTCAGTGTTTCGGATTCGGCTAGCACGCCCGAGACTAAAATCGGAGGCGGAATCGCCAACCACACCTCGGCCACTTCGGCTCGAATCGTCAAGGGGCCGTTGGGGCCGGCCACCACTGGCGGCTGCGCCCCTACCCTTTTGCTTGTGTCTTCTTTACTTGTGCCGGGTGATTAGATACACTCGCTTCAGGGTGAGATACCGACGCCTACCGCAGACCATTGGGACAAATCCGGCTTCGAGTCAACGCAGACTTCGTAGGTTCGCGACGAGCAAGCTGGCCAAGCCATGATGACACCTTTCTTTTTGTCAAGCGCACGGATCGGCAGCAGATCTTGGGGCGAGGTTTTACTCTCACGGTCAACAAGTGTCATCAGTGTATCTTAATACCCTTTTGTGATTTTCTCGCGCTTTTGCTAGGCTACGTGCCGAACCCACAGTGAGGATGCTCCTATCGGGAGACCTCAAAGTCCCGGTAGTCCCCACGTGGGGCTTCCCAACCTGTCTCGGTTATTTGGGTTTAAGGTCTAGGGGTTTTAGGGTCACAGTTGCTGCACAACGGTAGGGTGCCCTCGAACCCTCCCGAAGGTGGGAAAGGGTAAGACCCCTCTCGGGTTCTTCCTGGTCTGTTCATATGGTCGTCTCGCCGCGCCCAACGTCGTGGTACGTCCAGAGTGAAGGGGCTACCTCCGGCGCGAACTTCTTCTTCTTCCTCTTATACTATAGTATAATCCTAAACCTTAAACCCTAGACCCCAAACCCTAAACCCTCAACCCTAAACCCCGAACCCTAAACCCTAAACCTTAAACCCCAAACCCTAAACCCTATACCCTAAACCCAAAGAGCCTGGCAGCCTTGCTTCCACGACAGCGGTGACACGCGACAACACCTCGGCTCATAGGTCCCTGGCCTCATGGTTGTAGCTGCCACGCCCGCTATTACAGTATATCATGCTGTAGTGTATGATAGCCTATTCAAATATAACTTCGCAATTGATTGTAATACTATAGTAGGCTATGGTATATGATAGTATATTATAGAATCGCGTACTATAGTAGGTTGTAGTATATATAGCACTCTGTAACCACGAAGCTCCTCCACGATCGCATGCACTCGCACAGCCTGCGAAGTGCCAGCGTTCGGCTTGAACTTCGGATTCGAGGAGAGGGGCGTTTGGGGGTTTTGGGTTCAGGGTTTAGGATTTTGTGTTTAGGGGTTAGTGGTTAGAGGCCTAGGGTTTAGGGGTTTAGGGCTTGGGGCTTGGGGTTTAGGGTTTAGGGGGTTTAGGGGTTTAGGGCTTAGGGCTTCGGGTTTAGGGTCTAGGGGTTAGGGGTTAGGGGTTAGGGGGTTAGGGTTTAGGGGTTTGGGGTTTAGGGTTTATGGGGTTTAAGGCACAAGGATAGAGCCAGCTGCAAGGTCCGGAAGCATGCGAAGGCAAGACTTCAGGAAACATGTCAACTACAATCATGGCATGCAGAAGAAGATCACTATAAGATGAGGAAACTTCCATGCAGGTATTTCCGAAATCTTGTAGTCGTCGGTTCACTGTAAAGGCATGTGTGCATGCATGCCTTCATAAAGCCATGAATGTATCCACAGCTATGAACACAAACTAGTCTCTGCGCATGCGGGTTTTTGCATTTAAAGGCATCTGTAGCACTGCGCGAGCTCATGAACCTTAACTACGCAGAAGCCTGGTTAGCCATAATCATAGTACCGGCATACTGTACCGCAAATGAGTTTGCAAACTTACCTCTTCAGCGACTTGTCCGTCGATCGGTTTGCTTGTTCAGTTGCTGCCGCTGAGTAAATGCATGAGGAGCACAAGCATGCATGGGTACATACAACTAGTGGTAGGAACATACAAGCGTAGGTGCTTAAGCATGTACACATGTTCGAAGCTAGCACTGCCTGCACACATTTATATATATATATATATATATATATAAATATAGATAGACAAATAGATAGATAGATAGATATGCTTGAGTATGTACATACATGTATATCACATGTATACGTGCATACACAATGGACCCAATAAAGTGCACAAGCACAGCAAACTGGTGAGGCATGTCCCATATGAACCCCTGTGTACAACTAAAGTTGGGACATCCCTGTAAACCTTTATGCTTGTGTTCTCTCGGGACCACTAAATTATCCCAAAGCATATCAAAGCATTTACATCATGTATCTGAGCATCTGTGTATGTACTGTAATTTAATATCTGTTTTACCTAAACCCTAAACCCTAAACACTAGAGCCTGTAAGATTGGAACAGAGAGAGTGCGTATTCTCCAGCCTGCGCTTCCATCCGCCTGTCGACCTGGCAGTGAGGGACACGGAAGCTGCCGACATGGTCGTGTCTGGGGCTTACGTCTTAGAGTTTTTTTGAGCCCCTTTTTTTTCCAGCAATCCAGTCTGCCAGACGTCTTAAAGCTTCGGGTTGAGGGTTTGGGGTTGAGGTCCTGGGCGCACCGAAGGGACACACCCTTCCATGCTTCTGAGAAGGGCCTTGCAGACCCCGCCCAAGGCCTCCAGGTGAAAGTCTCGAATTCGATTCTCCATGTCTTGCCGGGCATCTGCCATCTCTGCCTTCGGAGCAATTGAATGCTGCAGGCAGTCGTTGTGCAAAGATCCGCTGCCCCGGTATCGCTATATTTCTGATGCTTCTTGTTCTGCTGGCGATGATTGGTGCCCTTCTGGTTCTTGTCAGTAGTATGCGTTGGCAATACCTGTGTTGTAATTGTCATGTTGGTGCTTGTGAGTGGTAGTGACTCGGTAGTGAGTCTAGTCACGTTCGTTCTTTCCGAGCTTTCTTTGAAGCAATGATTGCCACACTTCCTCAAATGTCTCTTCAGCGGAGTGCCCACTGTCCTCTTTCCTGTCCTCTGTACAGCTATTGCGGAAAGAATGTTCTTTGTTCTTATGATTTCCTCGGCGAGTCTTAAGCTAATGTTGTCGATCATGTCATTCTGACTATTGCAGCTTTGTCTTGTCAGCTTTACTGTTACGAACCGACTGCCCGCATCCATTTACGCATAACCCCACTCCTTGAACCTTGAACCCGGTTTAGGGTCTCAGTATAGGGTCTCAAGACCCGAACACCCTAAAATTTAAACCCTGCATTCCAAGTACTACTGCCCTGGCAGGCGCAGCTTCCCGACTGAGGCACCTCCATCCGCCGACGCAGCGCATCCTCCGGATTGGCGATGATTAGGACGGCGGATGGCGATGCTGAGGATAGTAGTGCTAGTGATGACGGTCGTCGTGGTAATCACAACCATCAGCACCACCATCATCAGTGTCACATACCATGATCATAATGTTCTGTCTCATGCATACTTAGTAATAAGGCCGAGTCATGAAGAAACACACGAAGAGTGTTAGCATCATTACCACTACGAAGCTCGTTTGTTCTGTGTTGCTACATGTAACTGTGGGCATTTAGGAATTCTGGTCGCGTTGTCCTTCGATTCGGGTGCCGAAAGACAGGGCAAACACAGGATCCTGTATGTCGGGCAGAAGCACCCTTTTCCGGTGGATTCCTTCCGTCGGTGTGCTGATTCGGCCACCTACGACTAATTCATACGCAGTCCCTTCTGAACCACTTTCGTTTCCAAGCTCCGAAACCTTAAACCCCAAAATTAAACCCCTAAATCCTAAACCCTTCTAAACCTTAAACCCCTAAACCGTAAAACCCAAAACCCTAAACTCCTAAACCCTAAACCCTAAACTCCTAAACCCTCAACCCTAAACTTTCAAAGAAAACTCTGCGGCCGAGAGTCATCTGCCAAGCGTCGAACCTTCGAGTCGTAAACGCTCTCGTCGCTTGTGCTGCGGTTGATCTCCTTTAGGGTTTAGGGCTTGGGGGGTTTAGGGTTTAGGGTATCAAGCTTGCCGCCATCATCACGACCATCGGCATAACGATCATAACAAGTATGATTATGATCCTAAACCATTCGAAAACAAATCGAAAGCCGTAGAATGATCTGCAAGAAGTTGCACAACAGTGCTCTGAGAAACTGGCCTCCAAGCGCGAGATCCACAGGCGTGTCCGAACTCGGTGGTGTGCCTCAAGTACTCCCTCGTTTAGGGTTAGGGAGCTACGGCTTAGGGCTCAGGGCCTGCAGCACAATTTCAGGTAATAATATCGCGAACTTCTAAACCCAAGCAACGAGGAGAGACATGGCCAAAGCCTGCCCCACACCTCTCTGTCTCATCCCAGACACACACGCAGGCCAAGAAGTCATCCAGTCTTCAACCGCCATTACTAGTGGAAAGAACCCTAAACCCTAAACCCAAACTCTGCAAGGAGCAAATGTCCAAGAGACCGAAAAAAATCTCAGCCTCCCGCGACACAGACTTGGCCCAAGCGCGCGATGGCCACGTGCATGGACTCAGTAACTCCAAGGGTAAAGGCAGGGACCCTTAAGAAGGACCCCTAGGTATAAACCTTAATATAGCTATCATGTACCCATTATATAGCCCGTTATTGAGTAGGGGTCCCCATCGAGGGTCCCTCCTTTTCCCCTTTGAGTAACAGCATGAGACGATCCATGGCTCTGGATCTGGGCAAGGCAAAGAACATCACCATCAGTAGTAAACCTGTTTTCTTTTTGCCGCCGTTCCATGATCGATATGGATGTATGTATATATATATATATATATATATACATATATATACATATACATATACATATATATATATATATACACATATATATATATATATACATATATATATATGATTATATATGATTATATATGATTATATATGATTATGTATATATATATATATATATATATTCATATATATATTCATATATGCATACTGTTATTCTTTCTGCTTAAGTAAATGACAATGGTTTCTGCTCTCACCACCGTCGGGATAAGCTTCGATCTAACAGCCGTTTCTCAACCTCATGCTTGCTACCTCTACGCCTCTCCCTACGCCTACGCCTACGCCTACTCCTACTTTTCTGCTGCTACTCCACTACTCTCTGCTACTCTACGACTCTACCACTGTACCACTCTACCACCCCACCACTCTACTTCGACCTTTACTGAAACTTGGCCCATGCAGATCTGTAGAACCCTCTCGACGCCGTCCTTTCATGTTGTCATAGCATAGCAAAACTGAAACTGAAGTTCAAAATGACGACATCTCACGAGACCATGTCATAGCAACATCAAAGGCTTCACGGTGGCTTGCTGTTATCCAAGAGCCCGGTAATAAGGCTGGTAATACGACAACAGCAAGTCACACGAAATCCACTCTGAACCCGAATCTCCCTAAGCTCTCAGCCCTAAACACCAAATCCTAAACCCGTGAACCCTAACGGTTTAGGGTTTAGGGTTTAGGGTTTAGGGTTTAGGGTTTAGGGTTTAGGGCCTAGACCCTGAGCTCTGAAAACAGGCTCCGACCATGAAGCGGAAGCGCAGGCGCGGTTTGGCCAAGTCCGAGGCCCACTGCAGAGCAGAACTGCTCACGGCGCGCAGAGCTAACACCTGCACTTCCAAAAACACAGGGGACTTGTGAGTATGCCATAGCTGAAGTGTATCGGGACTATCAGAGGATTTTTCGACGAAAGACAACAGCAAGACCACTAACCACAAGCGACACAGCAGCAATCAACAAATAACAACTACCGCGACGCCACCTCCGGCCCAGACAATCACAAGCACCATCACCACCACAGTGGCCATGACGACCACGACCAAGATCACATACCACAGCCGAAGAATCAACAGCAGCAGAGCTAAGGCAACAAAAACGATGATTGAAGGGAACAAAGACGGCGCGGGCTCAATGACCGGTCGTGATCGTAATTGAAAAGCCAAAATAGAAATAATACCGACAATGAAAAGCAAAAGAGGAATACAAGTAACAATAGTAGTAATAAGAATAGTAATAACACTAACAACTATTGCGAACATGGTAATGAAGATGCTGATGGATGTTGATGAGGTACATGCTAATGCGGCCGCCGGCGACAAGACGATAACGGGGATATTGATGACGACAACGATGACGGCCGCGACGACGACTGTGCTTGCGCCGAGGCATATGCCGATACCGTCGATGGTGATGCCGATGATGATGATGCTGATGATGATGATGATGCTGGTGGGTGATCATAACTATGATTCCTACGACGATGAATAGGACTATGAGAAGCACGATGGTGGTGTTAAAAACGAGAATGAGTGGCGATGCATGCGATGAGTGCGTGATCATGGCGATTTTGGTGCTTGTGATGATTGAACCATCGAATGGCGATGAGTAAAGTGCATTCATGCAAATGTGCAAATGTGCAGAAGATGTGTTCTCAACAAGCCCGCGAACCAGCACGAACACCACCACCAACAACAACAACAGTAACTCCGACAAAGACTAAACTGCTTTTGCCGCCGGCACCCGACAAGACTACAACCGCCAACAACAACTACGAAGAAGACTTCTGCAATCGCCAGGCGAAGCAGTAAGCTCCTAAATCACTATCCTCGGCCTGGGACCACTGAAATCTTCTTCGCCCAGTCCGCAAGCCTAACCCCTAACCCCTACCCCTAATCCCCTAAACCCCTAAACCCCTGAACCCCTAAACCCCTAAACCCCTAAACCCCTAAACCCCTAAACCCCTAAACCCTAAACCCTAAAGCCCTAAACCCTGATTAAACCCCTAAACCCTAAACCCTAAGCCCCCACTGCACCCCTAAACCCTAAACCCCTAAACCCCCAAGCCCCCACTACACCCCTAAACCCTAAATCCTAAACCCATTGCATCAAATGCCTCCGGGAGCGGCAGACCGCAGACCACCAGCACCAGGCAGGGAGGCTCCAAGCGTGTGAAGGTCTGGAGAAGACTCTTCAGAGGCAGGGTTTAGGGGCTTCTAGTTTAGGGTTTAGGGGCTAGGGGCGTGGCGTTTAGGGTTTGCCGTAGAGCGGCACATAAGTGGAAATATCTTGCGACAGTGTCATGTCGAGTGCGTCGTAAAATGACGACCTGTCGTTGGAGGGATTGTGGATGGCTCTTTTCTTTTAATTCTCCCACCCCATGCCGTGCGAGGCGGCCAAACCACCCAAACCTATTCCTTTTAGCGCTTAGCAGCTACATTCATTCCATGGTGGGTTTTCTTTGTTTATACCAATCTTCAAGCTTGTTAGTGAGCTGAGCAAGGCAGGCCGGGGGCAGAGGGCAGAGGGCAGAGCGCGGGCAGGAAGGGCAGGGCAGGGCAGGGCGGCAGGGCAGGGCAGAGCAG